AAAAAAAAAAAAGTACAGGTTAACTGTTCAAGATTATGCTTAATGTATTTTATTTAGGAAAAAACCCACCCCAGCAAGAAAAAATACTGTAAAGATGAGTTTGGTCCTTTGTTTTCTATAAAAGTTTTGTTGGCACTCTATTATTGAAAATTTTTGAATGAAGTCAGTTGGGCAGTTTTAAAGCTGCTTTAAGTTTACTTGGGGTTTTCATCCCGGGCATAATTGTTACAGCTCTGCTGGGCAGAGGCCACTTGTCCTGCTGATGCTCTTCCAGCAGTCATCACACAGAAAAGGAGACCTTTTGCACGGGGGCATAAAAGGCGTTTTTATTTATTTTAGATTTTGCAGCTTGTACTACTTTGTGCTCTATAATGCTTTTTCGTTAAAATGGAAATATAAATCTTCAACTTGTGTTTTCAAGATTTGACGTTAACCTGTGTGAGAAGTGTGATGTGCAGTGTTAACAGAGGAGGAGGCTCTTTCGAGGTCTGGTGGTCATTTGGGGAGTTACCATCATACCTGGTGGTGAGACCAGCACTGCAGTTGTATTTCATCTCTGCCTGCTCGGTGAGGGTGTCGCGGAGGCATCGGGCATTCCGCGTGGGTATTCAGCTGGGTTACGAGCCGCAGAGAAGGCAGTGACTTGTGTGAAGTCAGTCAGGGAGCTCCGGGTGCGGCCTGCCTGCGTTTGCATCCTGGGCTGGTGTTGTCTGCCTTCTGGCCTGCGCACTAGGCGGCCCTCGCAGCAGCAGCAGCCCCTCCAGGCTGCAGTTCTGGGCGGGAGGGGGGTGGGAGCAGGGACAGCAGGCCTCAGGACCAAAGCTGCAGACTCTTGAGCGGTTTCTAGCCTCTCTCTGTTTTTTTAGTTTTCCTAATTCTGTCTGGGAGTTTGAATATATGGATTTTATGCTAATTTCTTCTTTTTCTTTTTCCGTTCAGATTAAGGAAAACCTATATCCTGCTTCTTTCTGTAAGCAGCATCTAGTTGTGCAGGAGATCAGTCATGCAGCCGCCGCCGCAGGCAGCCCCATCAGGCATGGTTGGGCCACCTCCAGCTGGGACTCCTCAGACCATGTTCTGGTCCAACAGACCGTACAGGAGACAGGCAAATAATAACGCACCCGGAACTCCGATCACCTGCCCGCTGCAGCCCGTGACGGATCCGTTTGCTTTTAGTAGACAGGCGCTACAAAGTACATCGCTGGGCAGTTCGTCCAAAAGCAGCCCACCCCTTCCGCAAGGCCCGGCCCCACCAGCGTTCCTTCAGCACCCTGGTCTGCCTGCGGCTCACACGAATGCCGGGGATACCCCCCAAGGACCGATGTCGCAGCCCAGAGCAGATGGCAGTCTGTTTCCCAGCGTGCTGACCCCTTTGGCACCATCGGATCCCGAGGGGAACAGGAGTGCCGCGGTGGCTCCCAGCTCAGAACCTGAAGCTCAGACTCTGCCACATCCTCAGTACGTTCCAGGAGTGGGTGCGGACAGTCCTCATGGGGGCCGTCCACACATGAACACGCTTGGGCCCGATAGGCCCTTGAGTAGGCAGAGCCCACACGACAGTGCCACGGCATCAGCACCATCCCCGTTCTTCCCTCAGCCTCGTCAGCAAATGCCAGGGCACTGGGGACCAGGGCAGGGAGGCGCACAACCCTCAGGTCAACATTATTGGCCCCGCCCAGAAGGACCTGTACAGAGCGCGCTGCCCCACGCCTCCAGCGTTTCTCACTTCCCTGCTCCGTCTACCCTGCATCATGGTCCCAGCCACGAGCAGCTCAACCCGCTGGTGTCTTTGCCAGGACCCTTAGCCAGTGATGGAAGCAACGAGGCGGCCTGCCTGCAAAGTGGAAACCGTTCAGCAAATAACTTTGATCCTGAAAATGTGTTCAGGCAAAATTCTAAAGCTGGGAATACTCGGGCAAGCCAGGAGCTCAGGCCAAATCCAGGAGTGAACAAAGAGCAGTTGCCGGACCTTGCTCTCAGTAATCCCCTCACTCAGGGTAATAGCCCAGAAAGCCATTTGCACTGCCCCCCAGGGGCCGGGACCAGTCAAGCCTTGTCAGAAGCAGACTCCGGGGCGCTCTCCATGTTTTTCCAAGGAGGGGAGACAGAAAATGAGGAGAACCTCTCATCCGAAAACCCCGGCTCTGCTGGTCGGTCTGACTTCGGTGGCTTCTCCCCCAGCCCCGCACTTGGTCACCCTCCTGCACACGTGGGAGCCGGCGGCATCTACCAGGCCTTTCCCAGAGGTTCTAACAGCGAGGCCACGCAGCAGGGAGGACACCCGCAACCTTACTTTTATCAGACCGCAGGCGCCCCGCCTGACCACCCCACCGCGGCAAGTGCTCCCGCGACCACGTGGGGTGGCGCACCCGGCGCAGGGGTGCACGCGGCCAGCAGCTCGCAGTCTGAGAACATGGAAGACCTTGAATTCATTCAGAATCAGGAAGTTCTGCCAAGTGAGCCTCAGAGTTTGGACCTTTCCTCCCCCAGCGATCAGGTCAGATATGGGCCCCTGCCTGGGCCAGCCGTTCCCAGGCTCGGCGTTGTGGGCCACTCTGGGGGTGGGGGCCCAAATCTCGAGGCCCCAGATTCAGCACCGCACCCCGTGCGGTCTGACAGTGTGTCATCCGGTTACAGCGGCAAGAGCCACAGGAATCTCCCAAGTGTAGCCAGGCCCCAAGATGTAGGCACTTTCATTCAGCAAGAAGTTGGAAAACCTGAAGATGAGTCTCCAGGGAGTTTTTTTAAGCAAATTGATTCTTCTCCTGTGGGAGGAGAGACAGACGAGACCACTGTGAACCAGAGTCCCCATGGCAGCCTGTCCCAGCCCTCAACCCCAAGCCCGCCAAAACCCACTGGAATTTTTCAGACAAGTGCAAATAGTTCTTTTGAACCAGTGAAATCCCACTTAGTCGGAGTCAAACCCATCGAGGCCGATCGCGCCAACATGGTGGGTGAGGTGAGAGGGGCCATTGCCCACCAGAAGCAGCGCAGACCCGCTGCTGCCCCGCCTGACGCCTCCCCCGGCAACCTGGAGCAGCCCCCGGACAACATGGAGACCCTGTTCGCGCTCCAGGCCTGTCCTCCCCCCTTTTCCGTATCTGCGGAGCCGGGGCACGGGCTTGTGCACACCGGGGGACCACCCCTGGAAATTCTGCCCCTGGCAGCCGAGAAAAGGCCTTTGGCCAGAGCCCAGGGGGTTGTGAAGTGTGAGAGCCCAGTGACGACGTTGTGGGCGCAGAACGAGTTGCCAGATTTTGGAGGCAACGTCCTTCTAGCTCCAGCTGCTCCTGCGCTGCACGTGCCTGTGAAACCGCAGCCATCGGAAGTGATTCAGCCTCCGGATGAGGGCGTGTCCGCTCCGCAGTCCCGGCAGCCGGGCTCCAGCCTTCTGCAGAGTGGGGACAGCACTGGTGCTTCTGAGAACCTCGAGAACCCTCCCAAGATGGGAGAAGAGGAGGCCCTCCCGTCCCAGGCAAGTTCTGGCTATGCCAGTCTCTTATCCTCGCCACCCACTGAATCTTTGCAGAACCCACCAGTCTTGATTGCCCAGCCCGATCGAAGCTATAATTTGGCTCAGCCCATTAATTTTTCTGTGTCCTTACCGAGTCCTAATGAGAAGAATCAGCCCCGGAGAGATGCTTTGGTCGGGGATAAACCCTCAGCAAGCAGCTGGGCTCTGGGGAGGGACTCTGGAGACAGCGCCCCTGTGTCTGGGAGCACAGCCGGCCCTCTCACCCGCTCGCCTTTGCCCAACAATTTTGCGCACAGTGGTTTTCCTCAAGTTCCTGGTACTTCAGAAATAGTTTCTAATCAACCTGCTGCTTTGCTGGTTCAGCCACCACCTCATCCAGTTCCAAAGGACCTGGTTTCAGAAAGCCAAAATACTGACAACGCAGAGAACGGCCTTCCCGAGTTGGTTAGTGGCCCTGCTGGAAGCACAGGCGTGACGTTGGTGCCGCCTGCGAACGCTGCCGCGGCACCCGCTGGTCATAAGGCAGATCGCTCCAGTCATCGGGAAGAAACTTCTGGAGCCCTAGACTTCACACTCAGTAGGACTTTGGAAAGTCCTCTAAGAATGTATAGCCCACCCCGTGCTGATGGCTCCGCGTGTCAGCACGCCGCCAGCAGTCATCCGAGGCCGCCTGGGCCCGGGCCGCGTAACTCAGACCATTTCTATCAACAGGTGATGAAAGATACTCAGGACCAGCGTGGCCTCGAGAGAGCCCAGCAGGAGCCAGCACCGCCTCCCCCACGAGGGCCCAAACCGACATGTTCGGAACCTTCAGACCCGGGAAGTCCACCTGTGCAGGGACAGCCCCCAAACTCGGTCCCACCACCCCCAAGTCCAGCTCCGGCTGACACAGGTCAGCCGCTGCCACCCCGGCCGCCTCGGTCTTCCAGCGCCTCAGTCGCGTCCGCCAGCTCGAGTCAGGCAGCCGTGCGGTCAGACCAGCACTGGCTGCAGCCGCCGCCTCCAGATTTGGCGTCTTACTACTATTACAGACCACTGTACGATGGCTACCAGTCCCATTACCCCTCACCGTACCCGCTGGAGCCTGGCGCGGCCCCCCTCTATTACCAGGTACGATCAAGCTCTCGCACTTGAACCCTGCGACCAGTGGTTCCTTTCTTTCGAGTTGTGGGCCGTGGTGGGCTTCTGTTGCTCGGTTCGGAAGTAACCCATAGTGCCACCTCCGTGCCGAGTGCCGGCTCCAGGCACCGTGGTGGGGGACAAGCGTGCCTCTCACAGATGCCCAACACGGCCCGTCTCTTGGGAGTTTACCCTGCACGGCTGTGTATTGCGTCGTAAGGGGTACCTGATTATTTATTTCACACGGTATCCTCCAACTCCCATGGCTGAGAAGCCGTCTGTCTCCTGTCCCAGCGGCGGCTTCTCTGTGGAGAAGCTTCGGGAAACCGGGATAGCCCCTGCGAGCCTCAGCGTGGTTTTGGCGTGAAATACCTACCTGGCGAGTCACAGGGACATGTAGTCTTTGAGGTCCCTCCTTGAGAATAAAAACATTTAGAGGTAAATGTTAGGTCTGGAATGTCATCCTAGTGAAACAGCCAAGGGGGATGAAATGCCATAGACTCTGAGGCGTGCGGTGGCCCCAGCAGCGGGGTGGGGGCGGCCGCCGTGCTGTGCGGAAGCCTCAGCCTTCACGGTGGCATGTCCTGGCACGTGATCCTTGCTGCGGTCGGGTTCTGCCCGGCCTGTGTCACTCTGAGGTGCGTGCTTTGAGCACACACATTGGATCGCTGTCTGTATCTCATCACGTCTAGTCCCAGCGCAGCATCACCCGAGGTTAGCCGAGTTCAAAGGAGTGTGGCCTAGAGGTTTGGAAAGCACGGTCCTCCTGGGCAGGGGCGGGTGGCCATCCTGGGCTCTCGTAGTCAGAGGTGGATGGGGTTGGGCCAGGAGGCAGCCCCCAGTGACAGGAGGCGGGTCTCCTTTGTGGGCTTTGAGCATCTTTGGGAACGTATGAAGAGCACACAGCTAACCACCGAGAGCAGCAGATCCTAAATTCTGGAAGGAGCCCGTAGGACTCCTGTTGCCACACATGGAAATTGACTTGCAGTGCGCCCAGAGCCCGGGGGGCTGGCAGAGTGTGAGGGGGCCAGCGTACCTGCTTTGGGTCCTTTGTGCAGCAGCTGCGTGTGCGTCCCGGGAGCTCCAGCCAGAGCCCGGCGTCACCTCTGGGAGCCCGCTTCCTGGTGCCCTCCGGCCTTGTCGCCGCAGCCTGCAGCAATGGTCAGGAATAAGTCCGTTTTATGTGATTCCTCCTCTTTTGCCGGGGGATGGCAGAGAGTCAGGCTCGTAGACCAGAGGGCTGGTTCCATCTCCTGCCGGGATCGCTTCATTCCCGCCCCCGGTCTTCGCACGGCCGCCCCTTAGAGACAGAGCCGTGGCCATTCATCGGTCCATAATGGGGCTGAAAGCCTCAGGAGAGGAAAACGTGATCCTCTCTGGAAGGCTTCCTGGAGCTCGGGGACACACTGAGGTGGAACCCTGGGGAGTTTGCTTACCTAAGATGGCATCTGAAACAGCACAAACTTGGGGGGTCCCAGCACCTCCACATTCGAGACCTCGGGGACCAGAAGCCCACTGGGGCCCTCTAGAGTCTCCGCGGCTCTGTAGGGGCTTCCCACTGACACACTGGCCATCTGCTGAGCAGGCCCAGGGCGGTCCCTTCGAGGAGGATCCTGCCGCCCACCGGCGGCCGCAGATTTCCGACTGTAGGCTTTCTGTTGAAGCCGCACATTCAGTGCTCCTCCTGGAGGGCCATCCCCGGTGCCATTTAGAGCTGGTGCCAGTGGCTTGATGCATCATCTGTTTACTGGTCTCTGATGTTACGCACATCCTTCTTCCAGCAGGATGTCTACGGCCTGTATGAGCCCAGGTACAGGTCCTACGACAGCACGGCGTCTGCCTATGCTGAGAACTACCGCTACTCCGAGCCTGAGCGACCCAGCTCCCGAGCAAGTCACTGCTCAGACCGGCCGCCTGCCAGGTGATGGGCCCCTGTGGCCCTGGCTGTGGGAGTAACGCGGTGCCCTGGGAAAGACGGCGCTCGTGAAGAGTTGTATCGGCGTGTTTCTTCTGTGTGTAATCGGCACGGGCAGAGCGCACGGGCACTTTGGAATGGGACAAAGCCCTCCCCTGCAGCCATGCTGTGCGGTCAGCCAGCGCTGGGGCGGGCAGACCCTCGGCGGGGTCCTCTCGGGGCCAGCTGCTCACCCCACTGCCGAGGCACGCACGGCTCTGGCGTTCGGCTGCCGGGGTGTTCCGGGCCCTTAGACCGTGGCAGCTTTGCCCTCGCACTGAGCCTCTGCCGTGCCACTAACCACAGATGTGCTTGATTCTTTGGTCAGGACGCCTGCCCACGTCCCTTTCCCAGCCCTGCCCCTGTGCCGGAGGCCCCCGCATACCTCTGTCCTGCTCTCTCTTGCTGACCAGGCACATCTCGGCTGTGGGATTATAGATGAGGGGTTCTTTCTTTCTTTCTTTTCTTAAGGTCTGTTTATTTGAGAGAGAGCAAGAGTGCAGAGGGAAGGGCAGGGGGAGGGAGAATCTCAAGCAGATTTCCTGCTGAGCGTGGAGTCGACGCAGGGCTTGACCTCACGACCCTGAGATCGTGACCTGGGCTGAGATCAAGAGTCGGATGCTTAACCAGCCGAGCCTCCCAGGGGCCCCTGGATGAGGGATTTTGAAAGATCCCTGACTCAGCCAAGCAGGACCTCAGCAGGTCCTGGGGCTCCCACTCAGAGCCGCCGGTAGAGCCACAAGGGGCATCAGGCCTGTTCCCAGTGTGGTGTTGCTGCCTGCCTTCCAGAGCCTTCCCCCATACTCGCCCATTGTCAGGTTAGCGGGGTATGAGTCCGGGGTAGTTTTACTACCAGAGTATGTGGTTTCTTGAACTTGTAATAGAGGAGGTCTGATCTCTGATGGAGACCTCATGTGTGCACTGCCTTTCAAAATTTTGGGGTCCTGTTGCTGGTCCTTGGGGTCCTTGATAGCTTGTCTGCAGATGAGGTTCTGTCTCCGTGAGCCTTTGCCTTTTGAGCTGCCCTCTCCGTGCAACACTGACCTGCACGTGGCCCAGCCTTCTAGGAACTTATGTAAGAAAGTTCCCGAGGGGTTAGCTCTTGGATAAGCACCTGGAAGGAGAGGTTTGAGGTTAAGTATTGCGACTCAGGGAAAGCCGCGGGCAAGTGATTCCTAGAACCCTGTAGGAATGGAGGAGGGCACGGCCAGGGCACGTCTCGCCATCCCGGTTCCTGTCTGCTTGCCCACCTGCAGGTTAACATGGAACCTCATTCTGAGACTCCGAAGGTGGCCCCGTGCCCTTGAAAGTCACCCAACCAGAGGCTGGGCCAGGTTGCACAGGAGTGGTCCCGTCCCATCTCACAGTGTCTCTGTCCTCCTGTTGTCTTCACCGCTCTCCTGCGCCGGCTCCGTAGAGCGGCCTGTCCTTCCTGCCCTGCTTTGGTTGGCGGATGTGTGTGCGTGTGCATGTGCGCTCGTGCCTGGCGTGAGCACGTCCTTGCACGAACGTGTCTTTCATTTTTGTGGCTGTCTTTGCTGGTGGATGAATGGGCTTGGTTGGTGAGGGCAGCGAGGAGGTGGTGTGCTCTTGGTTCTGCCCTGTGTCCGGTCATTATTCTGAGCCCACCACTGGTGCCCTTGGGGGCCCCCACTCTGCAGATGGGTGGAGTGGAAGGTTCTCCAAAGCCCTGGGAAGGGGCCTTGTTCCTACAGCTGAGCCATGGGAGCGGGTGCTCCTCCCGGGCCCCTGGCCTCAGCTCAGTGAGACATTCCTGAAGAGCCGTGAGAAAAGTCACATTTTAAATATCAAGTATTGTCTAAAACTTGTTATTAATAAACAGAAATGCTAGTAAGTGTTCCTGAGAGTCCGACTACCCCGGAGGGCAGCTCAGCCGGCTCAGCATCCAGCTCTTGATTTCGGCTCAGGTCTTGATTTCAGGGTTGTGAGATCGAGCCCCCCATAGGGCTCTGGGCTGGGTGTGGAGTCTGCTTGGGATTTTGTGCCCCCCTCTGCCCCTCCCCCGTCCTCCCAGTCACCTCGAGCATGTGCTCTCTCATTCTGTTGGAGGGAACAAAAAGGAATCACTCTGGAAGGTCTGACAGCTGACATCACTACGTTCTGCTTTCTGTGCGCTGAGTCAGACTAGTAGCTTGGTCTGTGAGGCCGGCCTCCATCAGGCGCCTTTTCGGCCTCACAGCAGTCACTTTTAAGAGGCCCACGCCAGGGGCTAAGCCAGCCACAGCCCCGCACCTGGACGCATAGCATCATGCGTCCAGAGGATGCGACACGTGGTCTGTGTGCGTGGGTTTGACGGCTCAGGGCGTTTTGCTCCCGCTGAGCGCGATTCCGGAGACCTGAGAACGGGTTTGAGCCTTGGCCTGCAGGGCACAGTGCTGAGGGCACAGTGCTGAGCACACAGAGGGCGGCCGGCTTGTGGATGCCGTGTGGCACTTAAATAGGTACTCCAGAGAGGGGTTTTAAAAATTCTGTGTATTTGTCAGAGAGAGGGCACAAGCCAGGGGAGCAGCAGCCAGAAGGGGAAGCAGCCTCTGTGCCGAGCAGGGAGCCCGATGCAGGACTCGATCCCAGGACCCTGGGATCATGACCTGAGCCGAAGGCAGAGGCTTCACCGACCGAGTCACGCAGGCGCCCCAAGAGAAGAATTTTAATGAACCGTCTGGGAGGGGGTCCCGGCCTCTCCCCTTGACTGTTTCGGATTTCCGGCACATGTTTTTGTGGGTGCCGACGCCGCGGCAGTCGAGTGCGTGGCCCGACGTCCCAGCGTCGTCTCAGAAGTGAGTAGGCGGGTTGCTTTAATGGTGTTGTGTGCTTTCAGGCAAGGGTACCCCGAAGGTTACTACGACTCCAAAAGCGGATGGAGCAGCCAGAGTGACCACTATGCAGACTACTACTCTGGCCAGTACGAGTATGCAGGTGCGTGCGGGCTTCTCCGCGGCCCCCGTGGGCGCGGCCCGGTGCTTGGCTGTGCTCTGCGATCGCTTCTCAGGAGACTGTTCCGCTTGTTAGTTCTCGTGTGTTTTTAATCCAGGAGCCAAAAGTAGTTGAAAGTAAGCTGTGTCTGGAAATACTTATGTCGCTGTTTTTCATTAGGAAATGATGATTCGATTCTAGCATTAATGTCTCTGTCACGTTACTCGTTTCCTTTGACTTTCTACCAAAGCGTGGTGATGAGTAGTTCCAGAGCAGCCTTGTCTTTACGTGGTTACTTAAACCGATTAAAATAAATAAAGTGGGACACCAGCTTCTGGGTCGCACTGGCCGTGTCTGGCATGCTAGTGGCCACCTGTGGCCAGGGGCCTCCTACTTGTGTGGTGCAGACGTCAGATGTCCCCGCTGCACCAGGTGCTGCCTGCTGGTCTTGGCGTGTTCCCTCTGGGCCTCGCGTGCCCATCAGCGGCCCTGCCTCTCCCTACTGTGTGGTGCCGGGAAGGGTCCAGGGCCCACAGCCTCTTGGGTGTCCCGGCACGGCCACCCCGTCTGCTGCTTCCCACAGGCCTCTTTCCCTCCTGTGTTTGTACCGTTGGAAACTTAAAGTCCACTCACACCTGCCGAAAGTGGCACATCTAGTTTATAATGTTAACATGTTTTTGTTTTATTTTTTCGATTGTTTAGTTTTGGAATAGTTCCTAAAACTTCCTAGGCCACGTTCGAAGACACGTAAGGGAAATTTGTAGTCATGGGATTAAGTGTTAAAAGTCGTGACTACAAATAAAATTTAACAGAGATGTCTTCTAGCTGGTTTTTAATCGTGTGTGGAGAGAACACCCAGTGGCCAGCAGGTGTCACGCGTATAGGCGGGACACCACCCGGGTCTCACAGTTAATGGTCTCCAAGGTCATGCTGATTTTGGGGAGGAAAGTTGGGTTCCTCTAAGAGCCTGGAGGCATTCTTCAGTCCTGGGGTGGTATGGTTTCTCTGGCTCGGCTTTCTGAGGACTGTCTTCTCTCTCCTGTTGTCATAAACCATGAATCCCCTGCTTACAGACCCAGGTCGCTGGGACCGGTACCACTATGGTTCCAGATTCAGGGATCCCCGCACCTGTGACCGGAGGTATTGGTATGATGCTGGATACGATGCGTACAGGAAAGAGAACTATGCTTACGGCGACAGGTTGGTACAGCGCACTTGATGAGAAGGGCTGCTCGTACTCAGAGCTTTGCTCCTGCGTCTCTGCCCTCGTGTCTGTCGGTTACCCGAGTTGCCGTTGTGTTTGGGATCCTGGTGAGCAGCTGACACTGGGGTCCCTGTCTGAAAGAGAACCAGACCCTGCTGACGGTTCCCACCTGGGCTGTTGGAGGGGAACTGGCCTGAGCACAGGCGCTGGAAGTCGGCTCCTCCTCTTCTTGGGTCTGGGAGAGGCGCGGCTGCACGCAGCACGAACTTGAAGGAGGTTTCTCCAGATCTGAAGGCAGGGATCTGAACTTGGGCTTGAGATGTGGCCGCTCTCCCGAGGGTAGGGCCTGACTGGTCTTTTAAGGGTCACGATCCCCACGGGGGGTGACGACGTGGTGCTTGCTGTTGGGTGGCAAAGGGCTGTCGTCCTGGCATCACCTACCCACTGTTCTCTTTCCTCGCCTCTATCCCTGGTTCCAGCAGGTCCGAGAGGTACGATGACCCCTGGAGGTACGACCCTCGCTTCACGGGCAGTTTTGACGACGACCCCGAGCCCCACAGGGATCCTTACGGGGAAGAGGCGGACAGGCACAGCGTGCACAGCGAGCGCTCAGCCCAGAGTCTGCACAGTAGCTTCAGCTCCCACTCACGTCAGGTGGGGGCCTCTCCCCGTCCCTTCACACGTGACCTCATGCCTGAGCCCCGTGTTCCCAGGAGTTGATTTTTCCTGTTTGCCTTGTGTTTTCCCAGAGTCAGATTTACAGAAATCACAGTGTGGCTGCCGCTCCCTATGAGGCCCTGCCTCCTCCCGGCTCCTTGCCTGGTGGTTATGCCTACGGCGCCTACGGTAGTAATTTTGGCAGTGGCCAGGGCTTCCCGGAGTACGGCTTCGCTGCCGAAGTGGGCTGGCCCACCACGGAGCAAGGTGTGTGTGTGCGCGCGCGGCACCCTGTGCTCGCACAGGTGCAGAGGGAGGTCGAGTCACACTGCCAGGGTAGCCTCGCAAGCCTAGGGTAATGGAGGGAATGGATTTCAGCTCGTGGGAATTGCCAATGGCGTGGCCTGGTCTTCTGTGCAGAATAAGGACTGCTGTGAGTCCCAGAGCTTGTCACAGCGGCCGAGAGCTGCCCAGCCTGTCCATAGTAGCCATGTCAGTGTGGCTCTGAGGACAGGCTCCCTGCCAGCCTCTTGGGTGCGGCTGCATTGTTTCCCGGTGCTGGCCGCTTGAGTAAGTAGTTTGTGTGGGAAACTCCTAATTCCCGTGCAAAGCTCCTGTGCACGGACTTGTCACCTGTGCCACGTTCTCAGCCCCTCTTGGAACGATCCATCAGACACTTTTCCTGGGAGCCATTGATGCAGTGGTGTGTGTCAGCTCCTGTGCAAATCTCTGTGCTTCAGGCATCAGCCGTCGTCGTCCTTGTGCCCCGTGCTCGTCGCTGCCAGGGGCCGGCCTCTGAAGGAGGAGCTGGGGGCACGGAAGCTCTGGTGGGGCCTCCGGCAGCCGGATGCTGCTTCCGAGTAGTCTGTGCTCGACTCAAGGGGCTGTTTTATAGGAGTTTTATTTCCAGAAGAGAATAGTTCTCGTTTTTAACAGTTGAAACATTTTCTGACACACACCTGAGTGCTCCTTTTTTTTTTTTTTAAGATTTTATTTACTCTTCTGACAGAGATCACAAGTAGGCAGAGTGGCAGGCAGAGAGAGGGGGAAGCAGGCTCCCCGCTGAGCAGAGAGCCCCATGTGGGGCTCAATCCCACAACCCTGGGATCACGACCTGAGCCGAAGGCAGAGGCTTTAACCCACTGAGCCACCCAGGCGCCCCCTAAGTGCTCCTTTTTGATGGGATGTTTCATAATTATCGCCTTGCGGTTGAAAGGCAGGTTGTCATCAGTCCGACCTGGGGTGCCAGCCGTATGGGCACTTGGAAAAGCTGTACTGTCGAATTGGTCCAAAAGCAGTAAAAAGTGACAAGCTGATTGTTTCTCACCTTATTTAAACGTAGCTCCGTCGAGACCAACTTCTCCGGAGAAGTTCTCAGTGCCTCATGTCTGTGCCAGGTTTGGGCCTGGGGGTCAGCTCATCAAAGTGATCCCAAATCTGCCCTCGGAAGGACAGCCTGCACTGGTTGAAATTCACAGCATGGAGGTAATTACGTGAGTGGAAACTGCGTCACGGGACTGTGCTCTGAGGAAGTGACCTTGGAAGATGCTCTTTTCCCCCGAGTCTTTGGTTCATGGTGGTTGTGTTGTGCTGGGCCGTTGCTGCTGTTAGAGGGCGGGACGCTGAGCACCTGGCGGGTGTCACCTTCGACTTAGTTCCACTGCAGATTTGTTTTGTCTTTATTCGTGTCTCTGGCTTGGCAGGGAGGACCCTGCTTGTGTTCATCTCGTGGCTTTTGGTCATGGGTAGAGGAGCTTTGTGATCTGGTGGCAGGTGGGGTGGGGGGCCCTGTTCCGCGGCCCTGGCAGGCCTCTTCTGAGCACACGTGAGGGCCCTGCCCCCGTTGGAGGGGAGACCTGGTTCTAAGTGCTTCAGAGAGAGTTTGAAAATCACGGTGGGGCAGCAGACAGGCCCGCACCTTCAGGGGGCGGGCAGGGACGGCACCGGGAACTTAGCCAGAGCAGCTGGCGGGCACGGGCGGGCGTCGCTGTGCGCCTGCCTGCCGCGAGCTGCTCTCTCTCTGCACCCTTCCACCCGCCTCAGACCTTGCTGCAGCACACGCCGGAGCAGGAGGAGCTGCGCTCGTTCCCGGGCCCGCTCGGCAAGTACGTTCCCGCCGAAGCGTCCTTGGCGTCCGCGCGGAGGTGGCTGCTGCGCGGGGCCTGCCTCGCAGACGCGGGTGTCGCTGCTCACGGAGCGTGTGTCCTTCTTGCAGGGATGACACCCATAAAGCGGATGTTATTAATTTCGCACAGAGCAAAGCTACAAACTGTTTGCAGAACCAGAGTTTAATTGACAAAGAGTCTGCGAGTCTCCTTTGGAATTTCATTGTTCTCTTGTGCAGACAGAACGGGGTACGTTTCCGTCGGTGACTCGCTCGGGGAGACTGTCCTCGTGGTGCTTTGGGGAAGTGGAATTCCAGGGCGTGGGGTTTGGGGTGAAGGGAGGTTCGGGTCCGCCTCTGTCCGGTCATCTGCGGTCTGTCCCTCCCGCTCCTGGCTGCTCCCCGGGACGTGGAGTTGAGGGGAGGGTGCTCACCTGAGGAGTCCTGTTCGGGGCCTCACCTGACCTGGACCAGCCCCCACCCCCACCCCCTGCCACAGGAAGTTCTGTGTGGAGTGAAGCGCTTTGATCTTCTTCTGCCCCTGTGGCCCCTGCAGACCGTGGTGGGAACAGACCTCGCCGAGCTTTTGTTACGAGACCACAAAACCGTGTGGCTTCCCGGGAAGTCACCCAACGAGGCCAACCTGATTGATTTTACTAATGAGGCTGTGGAGCAGGTAGAGGAGGAGGAGTCCGGGGAGGCCCAGCTCTCGTTCCTCACCGACAACCAGGCTGCTGGCAGCAATACCCTCGAGAAGGAGACGGAGAGGTTCCGGGAGCTGTTGCTGTACGGCCGCAAGAAAGTGAGTGGCCACGAGCCCCTGGGGTCCCCAGGTGGGCCCTGGCGTGCGCGGTCCTGCTCTCGGGAGCATTGGCACCTTGACTGCGACCCAGGGCTAGTGTCTGTGGAGTCCGGTGTGTCCGCTCCTGCAGCAGAGCCGTCTTCCTAGGGTTGCCAGGGTCAGAGACTCGCCTGTGCTCAGGTGCGCCCCTGCTGTGTACACGTCTCAGACAGACTCATGCGCGGACTGAAGTCAAACCGTTCTCGCACGGTTAGGCATGCCCTCGCTGTCACCTCAGCGGTGCAGGTGCCGGGGGGGTGCCCCGCAGTGGACCAGCGCCAAGCCCTGGCCACGGAGGGAAGCTCCCCAAGATCGTGCAGCCTGGAGCGAGGGCCGTGCCTGTGCTCTGGCGGCTGGGGTCTTGTGGGCCCAGAGTTCTTGGTACTTTGATCTCGTGATGGCAGCTGGAAAGCTCATATTTGGTAAATAAACCGTTTTCATGTGGGCGTTTTACAACGGATCGGAGCTGTGGGATCTGTCAGCTTTGCTCAACGTTTCCGTCTGCTGTGAGCCGTCCATCTCTGTGAAGACGCTGTCCTCTGAGTGCTACCCTAGATGATTCTGGACGCGGGGCGGCCGTGTTAGTAAAGGCTCCATCCGTGTGGAGGTGGTCATCGTAGAGGGCACAGTCGGAGGCAGCAGGACTGCTGCTCGCCTGTCCTTGTTCCTCATCCGGGTGCTTGCTCCGGACGCTGCTCACGGGCAGCCGACCCAGCAGCACGGGCCTTCGCAGACTCGGGGCCACAGCGACTTTCCAGCTCGGGCAGATTGGGAAAAGCGGGCTGCTGCTTCGTGTCTGAACCAGGCGCGTGTGTTGGCGGGCCTGTGACTCACGCACTCCTTCAGTGTGCTCCGGTCCCTTGCCCCCGCCGCCCGCCATGCCTGATGACCCCCGGGTGTGGCTTCTGCTTGCGCATGTCACTGAAGGTCTGGGGACTTGGATAACCACTGACATGCTTTGCAGGACGCTTTAGAGTCTGCGATGAAAAACGCCTTATGGGGTCATGCTCTGCTGCTTGCAAGTAAGATGGACAGCCGGACACACGCCCGCGTTATGACCAGGTAGAGAATCTTGCTGTGTAGACTATTTCTGGGCACGTCCTGCTGGCCTAGTCGTGCTGCCTGGTCAGCTCTTGGAAGCACCATGACCTGCAGGGCTTGTCTTGGAAAGCTGGGGCGTGTCCCCTGCACCGGGCTGCTGTCACACTGGCGTGGGCATGCTGAACCCTATTCCCTGCGGTTGTACTGCTGAGGGCCTTGTAAACGTTTTTTACCACAGAGTTTTCTACGCTCTGTGAAACCACCATGAATTCTTTAGTCTTTCTCAATTCATTGGTTGAAATGCTGGGCTTTTTGTACACTGTGCCTGGGTCAGGCCCCCGACAGTCATCAAAAGACCAAAATGAAACCGGCCTTGTTTCTGTTTGTCATTTAAACAGAGTCAACTGGGGCGCCTGGGTGGCTCAGTGGGTTAAGCTTCTGCCCTCGGCTCAGGTCATGATCTCCTGGTCCTGGGATCGAGCCCCACATCGGGCTCTCTGCTCCGTGGGGAGCCTGCTTCCTCCTCTTTCTCTGCCTGCCTCTCTGCCTACTTGTGATCTCTGTCAAATAAATAAATAAAATCTTAAAAAAAGAAAAGTTTAATAAGAAACAGGGCCAACTTAGCTTTTTCCCTCCTCATGTTTGCCTAGGTTCGCCAACAGTCTTCCAATCAATGACCCTTTGCAGACAGTGTACCAGCTGATGTCAGGGCGGATGCCTGCTGCGTCCACGGTCAGTGAACAGGGGCTCCCCAGGGTCCCTGTGGCCTGGCTTCCAGGCTCACTCTCATGAGAGCTGGCCTCCTGGGCCACAAGGCCTGCGCTTTCTCTTGTCCCGGCTCCGCGCTGTACTCTTGGATCTCACCTGTGACGAGATGAAAGTGGCGCTCCCTTCTGAGGATAAGGGTTTGTTTGTTTGGCTTTTTTCCCCGACCTCAGTGTTGTGGAGACGAGAAGTGGGGTGATTGGAGGCCGCATCTTGCTATGGTTTTGTCCAATCTGAGCAGCAATGTGGATGTGGAGTCCAGGGCGATGGCCACCATGGGCGACACTCTGGGTAGGTCAGGCGTGGGCGTGGAGGTCGGGGAGCCCGACACGCTCGGGCGTGAGAGCCACTGTGGAGGGCCACGGGGTTTTGCCACTCGTGTGGCCTTTCTGGTGGTTGCTGGCCATGTGTTGAGGTTTTTGGGAGAACTCAGCTCCTGAGCCCTAGCCTGCTGTATGTCTTCTCAGCTTCCAAAGGTCTCCTAGATGCTGCGCACTTCTGCTACCTCATGGCCCAGGTCGAATTGGGGGTTTACACAAAGAAAACCACAAAACTTGTCTTAATTGGAGCGAACCACAGGTGAGGACCGTCGAGGTGTCTGTTTTCCTTTAGAAAGGAAGCATTCCTCCGAGAGCTGACCCAGAAGCAGCGCACTCGCCTGGCAGCGGCAGCCTCCCGTCTTGGTGGCGTGCTGTTGGTCACATGGTGTGATGTGCTTCTGGGGCCTTGTCAGGACACTGAGATTCTTTCTTTTTTCAACAGTTTGCCGTTTTTAAAGTTTGCAACCAGTGAAGCTATCCAGAGGACAGAAGCCTATGAGTACGCGCGGTCTCTCGGGGCGCACCGCTGCTCCTTCCCCAGCTTCCAGGTGAGCGGCAGCCACGCCGGCCACGGCTTGAACGAGTGGCCGGTCAGTGCCAGCGAATGTGTGTTTGTCGAGGGCTTTTGAGCTCTTGCCCAAAATGATAGTTTTTGGAAATCCTGGGGAGTCCTTTGATCTGTACCTCTTGAGAAGTAAGTCTTATCGCATTGAGGATTTTCTTAGCATTTAAAACGTTTCCTGAGCGTTTGGTTTCCAGTGCTTCCTCTGCACGGTTTACAGCGTCGTGGGGTGGGTGTTCTGTGACCAGCAGGTGTGTGGGTGTAAACTGTCGCGTGGGGTTTGTGGGGACGGCTATCCGGCCATGCTAGCTGCTGGCTGGCCAGGGCATGTGGTGACGAGCCCTGCGCCACAAGCCTACAAAGTGTGCTAAAGAGGAAGAGGGAGTTTCTGAGAAGCTTAGTTGCCACTCTCATGAGAAGTCCTCTGGGGAGGGTCTCCGTGCTGCTGGGTGGCCGTGGGGCACACGTGAGGCACATGGGGCTGTTGGGTGACACGGGGGCTGGGAGGTGTGTCAGGACAACCGTGCTACACTCCCTGGTCCCAGGTGTTCAAGTTCATCTACACCTGCCGCCTGGCTGAAATGGGGCTGGCCACGCAGGCCTTCCACTACTGCGAGGTGATCGCCAAGAGCGTCCTGCTGCAGCCGCACAAGCACTCACCCGTGCTCATCAGCCAGCTGGTTCAGGTACGGGTTCTCGGACGCCCCGGCGGCGGCCGATCCCTGCGCTCGGGCACTGAGGGGTGACCGTGTAGATGCTGGGGACTTCTTGAGCAGCTTGAGAAATTCAGGCGTCCTTGGGCAGGGAGTGGGTGTTTTGAACTTTTCGGGGACCTCAGCCCGCGACTGAAGCTGGGCCGTAGCTTCGAGGGGAGAAGGACGGCATGTCCAGGACGTCTCGCTCCGTAAAACAGACGCCGTGCGTGCGGCCTGCGGGAGCGGGGGAGGCGTGCGTGGGACAAGGCTGGTCGGCGGCCGGTGCACGCGGCCAGTGCACCCTCCCCCCCAGGACCTTCGTTCTGGGAAACGCGCGTCCGTGACAGCTGAGAGAGTGTGTTACTGTGGGGAGTTCTCGGCGTCCGCGGAGGGACACAGAACCGTCAGCTCGTCCCATTCCCACAGCCTCGGCAGCTGTTCCTCAGGCCCCGCGTTCGCCACACCCCTGCCCCGCACCCTCCCCGCCCTGTCCCCGCACCCCCCAAGGCCCGTCAGTGTGCGCATCCCGGGTTAGTCAGCGTTTTGATCCCTGAAGCCGTCTGTGGCATCGGGGACGGGCGGCAGCCGCCGGGCTGGCCAGAGCCAGTCCGGGTCCCGCACTCCCTTCCGGCGACTCGGTAGTGCGAGCGACGTGTCGGGCCGGGTCACCACCACACGCTTCAGACACCTTAGGTGGCGGGAACGCTCCAACCGGACCTTGAAGATGCCTTTTGTTCCGGGTGGTGGTGGATTTTGAAAACATGGTCCCTTGTCACGCCAGGTAGTAACAGGGCCCTTTCCTCCCCGTGTGTGTCCAGATCGCGTCCCAGCTGCGGCTCTTCGACCCGCAGCTCCGAGAGCAGCCCGAGCAGGAGGCCTTCGTGGAGCCGGCCTGGTTGGTGCAGCTGCAGCGCGTGGACAGGCAGCTCAAGGTGCGCGGGTGCTTCCGGTCTCGGGCCAGGAGTCGGACACGCTGCGACCATAGTGGTTCACACGCCCGTCGTTTTCACGCCGCGCATGTGAGGGGCAGAGCGTACGCTCGAGGGGTGTGCGTGTTGGTCAGCGCGCTCCCGGGAGAGGGAGGGCCCTCCTGAAGCGTGGCCCAGCGAGGGTCCGGCTGTTGGGAACGCCTGCCCTGTCTCTCCCTTAGGAGGGTGCCACGGTGTGGAGTCGGGACAGGACCTTCCCCCAACGCTGTCCGAGCACCCCGAGCTCTGAGGCGGGCCCGTGTGATGGGCCGGCACTCGGCCCGCCGGGGGGCCCGGGTGCCAGCAATCCGCTGCTGGCGCCGCCTGTGCCCAGTGCTGAGCACCTCGGCCAGGGGGTGCGGCTGCTGCCTTCAGGTGAGCCCCGCGCTGCTGGAGAAGCCGCGGGCCTCCCCACCCTCCCCTCGCCGCCGCTGTTTCTGCAAGTGGAACGCTGCCCTCCTGCCCGAGGAGAGCAGAGGCGACGCGTCTTCCCTTCCCCCTCCCCTCTTCCCTTCCCCCTCCCCACGCTTGCTCCCTCCATGGGCCTGTTGCATCTCATGGCCTTAAGCAGCCGTAAGAGCGGGCGGGGGCCTGCGGAGCTCTGGAGGGGAAGGAGGGGAGTGGGGAGGGCTCCGTGAACTCCGAACTCTCTTTTTTAGGCCCCTGCTCCCGGGTTGTGCTGGGGCCTTGCTGGGAGTCAGGGCCCAGGCCCCACGTGACATTTGATGATGTCTTCCCCTTGTCCCTAAGAAACGTACGTTTTGCTTTTCCCCCAATGACTCATGACCTGGCATCGTCAGCACTCTTGCTGTGATGACTGGTTCTCTTACCCTGTAATGAGAGAACATGGCCCTGGGAGAGGACGTGTGACAAAGTGTTGAATGACCGCCTGTTTGCTTCCCCGAGTGCCCAGAGTCCGCGCCAGTACCTCAGGCTTCTATTCCCCGCTCTCTTGGTGCAGCTCCGCCGACGCTCCCCGACAGCCAGCCAGCCCTCCCCGCCAGGGTGCCGTTGTTCCCGGTGCCCCCAGCCACGGGCCCCCTTGAGCTGGGGCCCGGCTGTGGACCCCCGGCGGCTGCCTTTGGCTTTCCAGAGCCCTCTGGGCGTGAGCCTGCGGCTCTGTACACGGGGCCTGGCCTGTCCCCTTGCGCACCGTCTCTGCAGGAAAGTGAGCACGCGCCCCAGGAGACCGGGAGCCAGGACCCAGGTAGGCCTGCTGGAGCACCAGCCCGAGAGCAGAGCTGGGGGGGTTTGGTGTCGAAGGAGGCGGTTGGTGGAAGAGCCTTCAGTCGTCTGAACTTGACACAGGTTTTGTTCATTAGCATGTGCTGAGGCTGGAGGGCTCACGGATGTCAGTGCTGCCTTCCTCCGGGACTCAGCTGCGTGTTGGTGTGCGGGCGTGAGCAGATGTCGGGGGGGGGGGGCCGCGGGCGGGACCCATGAGGCTTCTCATGCCTGCTGTGGGCCTGCCTGTCTCTGTGCCCTCGAACAAGGTGCCGTGTGCACCCCGCTTTCCGAAAGAACCGTTTCCGAGAACCTTTCCGGCCTCGGACTCTGAGCCCCGCGGTGGGAGGCCCTCGGCCAGGGAGAAGCTGTGCCGTGTCGCGTGTACGTCATGTCAGCTCCTGTCCTGTGTCGGTGACACGGAGCCTACAGTGGCCCTCTCTTCTGTTGACAGGGGCGATGCTACCGGAGGCACTGGGTAGGAGCTCACTTCTGGAGCTGAGAGAAGAGGGTTTCGGTGGAAAATTTACTAACCTGGTACTGGCCTACTTTTTTCCCCCAAGCTCTTTGTTTTACTTAAGTTGCGTTGATTAGGAGCCCAGCCTTGCTGTTCTCCAGTTGTAACGGGAGAACCAGGAAGAGCGCGCAGCTGTGGCTCGTTGCTCCTCGGCCGGAGAGCCCTTGCTGCTCGCAGGGTCGCCGGGAAGGCCCGACGAGCTCGACCGCTTAGTGGCGCACGGACAGCCCCTCTCTGGAGGCTGCATTGCTGATGATGAGTTTTCCAAAATGGAGAGGCCTCCCCGGTCCTACACCCCTCTCTGCAGTAGGATCCCTGACACCTCACTGTCCGTCTTGAGATCCTTGCCACGTGTCTCGGCTGCTCTGGCCGCAGCGGGGAGGGACACGTGCTTTTCTGCGCGGTGTGTCCCGCAGCTGCATCTCCACACGCCGGGGCCTCCGTGGGCACGCCGCCACAGGCGCTTGCCGTAGGCCAGACTTCCACTGGGCGTTCTTCCGTGAAAATATTCTCACGTAAAGCGAGAGTTTATGGGAGACGGGGTCTTCGCTCAGCTATAAGTATTCTGAAAAAAACAAGTCTTTGTTTTAACATGCTCCTCCCCGTCTGCAGCCAGCGTCCCCTCGACACACACACTCAAACCCCTTTTTCCAGCCCAGTAGTGCCCAGTGCACCCCAACACAGTTGCTTGGGGGAGCAGGCGGGAGGCAGTGGCTGCTGTCCCTTCCCCTCCCCCGCTCTGCTCTCATCGCTCAGGGGTTTTCAAGGCCCCCAGGGAGGTGCCTTGGGTGAGCCTGCTCCCGCGTTGCCTTGGAACAGGACTCCGAGGTGCCCCCGGCGGGGGAGGGTGCCAGCTCCAGTGCTCTGCAGCCGCCGCCGTCTGCTCCAGAAGTGAAGAGACCCGCACCGGCAAACAGGAAAGACTCCAGGGAGCCCAAGAAGGTGAGACATGGCCTGGCTCCAGCAGGGCGGGGGCCTGGGGTCCAGGGAGGAGGCGAGGCATAGCTCCCACAGACCGCTTTCCCCTACACTGTCAGCGGGCCAAGGCGTTCCCAGTGTCCTCAGCACCCACTGAAGCGTGCAAAGCTTCCTGAGTGCCCATGTGTCCGCGTCCCTCTATGACCACTGGCCGGAGCAGAGTTGGAACGGGACCAGGAGGCCCCGTGGGTCCCCATGGCCTGTCAGAACCCACCCCAGACGGTGGCCTCTTCAGACTTTGGGACTTGTCCCATAACTTCTGTAAAGGAGGTTAATCTTTCAAAATCATCGGGTCATGGTATCTGTTATATGCAGCTGCTAAAATTTTATATTTCCTCTTTCTTGGTAATAGACATTGCCTTTTTTTTTTTTTTTAAGATTTTATTTACCTGACAGATCACAAGTAGGCAGAAGGGGGGGGGGGGGGGGAGAAGGCTCCCCGCCGAGCAGAGAGCCTGATGCAGGGCTCGATCCCAGGACCCTGAGACCATGACCTGCTGAAGGCAGAGGCTTAACCCACTGAGCCACCCAGGCGTCCGGGCCTTTTTTTTAGATGGGTGAGGACATAAGAGCCACACGCACGCTCTTTGTCTCTTGTTGGCGAAACCACTCCTTCCTCTCAGGGCGTGCCTAGGGCCCGGGATAGCTGTGTGTCCAGTGTGGGGTGCTACCAGGCTCTTTTCCTGGACAGTTGTACGCAGTGACCTTCCCCCAGCAGAGCCAGAGAGGCCCAGTCATTCCTTGTCACCAGCCCGGCTGGTGACATTACTCGTCCCCACGCACACAGGGTGGTCGGGCTGCCCCACGGCAGCCTCTCGGCAGGGGTTGTGGTGCCTCCTGGAGCTTTCGCTTCGCTCCCCTGACACACGGGGCTGCCGAGCACCTTTCTCACGCGCCTATCACCGCCCGTGTGTTTTCCTGCGTGGTGCTGGCTTGTCTTCTCCCACTTGAGCGTCTTGGCCCCAAGTCCTCTGTGACATGTGCGTCACCGGTGCCGTCCCCCAGCCTGCAGACTGTCTCTACTCTCTTCACGTGGGTTGACGCGGTACTGGTTCTTGATTTCCATACCGTTTAGCAAATCGAAGTTTAGTTAACTGTTAGCGTTCTTTTTTTTAAGCTCGTGTTTATTTATTAGAGCGGTGAGCGCACAAGCTAGGGGAGGGGCAGAGGGCGCGGGAGCAACCGGCTCCCCACCAAGCAGAGCGCCTGACATGGGCCGCATCCCGGACCCCACCCCGGCTGGGGTCGTGACCAAACCCGACACCAGAGTTGGGCGCTCGAGAGACTAAGCCGCCCAGGTCCCCCTTGACGCCTAGCATCACAAGGGGGACACAGATCAGATTCCGAGCATGCGTGAGCCTGAGCTAGAAGAGGACGCTGACCCGTCGTGAGCGCGGCGGGTCTGTGAGCACACACCCGCTGCCTCCTTGTCTGTGTTTCCCCTGAGGCACGGCCTGCCGGCATGGAAGTGAGTGTCCCTGACACGTGTGTTCTCCCAGCATAAGGCCGCGGGGCGGGGGACTGTCCGTGGGACCCACAAGGGCATGGCCGGTCTGCTTGCTGCTGCTCAGTCTGGGAGGATGCCAGAGCCTGCCGCTCATTGGCATTTAGACAGGAAAAGCTCCAAAAGGCACGTATTCAGATGTTAACCATTTTAACTGTTTTTAAGGGCACGGTTCTGTGGCGTTAGCTGCCCCTGCTGCCCGTCTCCGGGACTTGTGTTCTCAGACTGGACCTCGGCCCCAGTGCACACCATGCCCCTCCCACATCTGTGCGTGGGGCTCCTCTGGGGCCTCCTGGGAGCCAGTCCTCAGGGCCTTTCGGTGCTGGGCTCAACTCACACGGCACCGTGTCCTCAAGGCGGTTCTGATGGTTTTCATGTTTAGAGTGGCGAGTCCTGGTTCTCCCGCTGGCTGCCCGGGAAAAGGAGGACAGAAGCTTACCTGCCGGACGACAAGAACAAATCGGTAAGCACTGTGCAGTGCGGCCCCGAGGGGCGTGCGCATGCCCATGCGTGGGGGTCGCCTGTGCACGTGGGGTCCGGTTGCCCAGGCCCAGAGGCCGCAGGCGCGGTTTCCGCTCGGCTCTGTCTCCTGACGTTACTTTTCACGATCACGGCAGATCGTCTGGGATGAAAAGAAGAACCGGTGGGTGGATGTAAACGAGCCAGAGGAGGAGGTACGTTTGGGTTCCCCGCTCTGCTTGCCTGGGCCCCGCTCGGCGTGCTGTCCCAGCAGCTCTGGGTCCACAGGCAGGGCTCTGAGCCGGCTTTCCCCTCCACAGAGGAAGGCTCCGCCGCCCCCACCCATCTCGCTCCCCAAGGCTCCGCTTGCTGCGCCCCCTGGTCCTGGAGGGCCCCCGAGGGCCTCTGTGAATATGTTCTCTAGGAAAGCAGGTAACCAAGTCGAGCCAGAGATTAGAGTTGGTTTGAGAACTTGCTTGTTCTGCAGACACGCCGGAGCTTAAGGGCTGGAAGTACAGGGCAGATGGCAGTCTGTCTGTCTGCAAGGGGGGGGTCCTAGTTTTCCTCCAGCGAGTCTGCAGGGGGCCCCCCCACCATCTCTAGAGCGCGAGAGCCCTGCTCCGCAGCTGCCGAGCTGCTAGCGAGCAGCGCGGCTCTGGTAGCCTCGATGTACAGAATGGGCACCTCCCCCGGGTTAGCAGCCGGGCTGTGCCACATGGAGAGCTGCGTCCCCGTCTGCTCTTCCCGCTCGGGGAAGGGGGACCCGGGGGGAACAGGATGCTCTGGGGTGCTGACCCAAATCTGCCGCTTCTCCCGGCATAGCTGGAGCCAGAGCACGCTACGTGGACGTGTTGAACCCCGGGGGGCCCCAGCGGAGCGAACCGGCGCTGGCTCCTGCGGAGTTTTTCGCCCCCCTGGCCCCGCTCCCGATTCCTGCACACGTGTTCGGACCGAATCCAGGTGGGCAGTGTGGGACCTTCTGACCTCTGATCCCTTTCCTGAACTCCTCTGGCTTTAATCTCCCGTAAGAATAGTGACCCGGCCGATGTGCAGAGAGCTGGGGCTCATCTGCTCGCTCATGGACCCCCTTCCCTGTCCCCCACGAGCGGGACTGTGGGAAACGACAGGCCGGCGGCGTTTTGAACAGAATGACAGCTTCCGGCGCTGTCCCCTTCACAGATGCAGAGGAAGTCCCACCTGCAGCGGGGGCCGGCAGGGAAGGGCAGGCGCCTGCGGGCAGTCCGGCCAACGCAGAGCCGGCCTCGGAGCCCCAGGTGAGCAGGGCTGCAGGCCGGGCAGGAGGACGGGGAGGGTTTGCCCCACACCCTGCCCGGGAAATTGGCCCGACCTTTGTGTCAGGCCCATTGTGCACCCGGGGACCAAGTCCGTGTGTGTAGGAAGTGTCTTTGCCCCAAACAGACTCCCTCTAGAGATGGGGAGTGTGACCGTGTGCACGAGGCCTCGTGGTTGTCTCGCTGAAATTGTAGTCGGGAAGGTGGTTTTTAATTTTGGGAACTGGGGTGTGACATCACGGAGAATCGGGTGTCTGAGGGGGACAGTGGATTGTGAGCCTGGGTCCCCAGTTAACGAGCTGCTTGACACGTAAGGGGTCGCGTAATGCTTCAGAGTCTGTTTCCTGCTCCGAGTTGGGATGACCAGGCCGGGCTGGGCCCGGGATCCGCGTTCCTTGGAGATGGGTAGCGGAGCGGCAGGCCCTGCATCTGCTCAGACCGGCGCCTTCCGTGGAGCCCAGCGCCTCGGGCGGGCGGGGGTCCCGTGTGGTTCCGCCAGCGGGACGGCTGCACGTCGTCTTCCTCCCGCAGGCGTTCAGCTCTGCCGCTTCGCTTGCTGGCCCCGAGCTCCCACCCGCCGGCGAGGACGGCTCCCGTGGAGGAGAGGTAAGGCCCTCCCGCCGAAAGGACCTGCCCAGAAGCCCGGCCGGCACGTCGCTCGCGTGCAGTGTGCACGCGGCTGCTTCCTTCAAAAGCGAGTCTTGACGAGTCAGAAGAGACAGTTGAGCAGCTTCTTAAAACCGCCCGGTGTCACGTTTGCACAACAGGTGGTCCCACTCGTCTGTGCAGAATCGCCCGGGGTCCCCACCTGGAGCAGGGCTGGAGTGCACCTGCCCCCGGCTCTGCTCAGCATGGCCGGGCCGCCGAGGGCCCCCAGCTGGGGGTGTTTTCTTTCTAAAAGCTGCTCCCGAAGGCAGGCCTTGTAAGCGAACTCTGGCTCCTCTCCATCTGACTGTCCCGGTTCTGAGGGCATCCTGCAGCTCTCAGGGGTTACACGGACTGCTCGGAGCGGCAGCGTGCATGCTGATTTTCTATTTGTGTGTGTTTTGTGTGTGTTCCTGTAGCTTTCACGCTGTAGTTCACTGAGTTCATTGTCACGTGAAGTAAGCCAGCATTTTTATCAGGTACCTGTGCCTGGCGGTTCTCACTGGACACGCGTTGAACTGGGTCGCCTTTGTGTCCCCTCTGAGCGCACTGTGCTGGCTGGCCACTGTGCCGTGTCACTAACGCGACCCGCTGCCTCCCCACCCGCCACACACCGGAGGATGTAGTGTTCCTTTCTCCCCAGGTCCTCGGGGGGTCGGGAGCCGTCCTGATGCACTGACGGGCACGTAGACCCCGATGTGCCTAGTGAATGAGTGCGGTCTGTTAAGTGTTCTTTCCAGATTGGTTTTTCCACGTGGCCAGCCTCTGGCGTGGCCTCACCGTGTGTGAGTGGGTTTCTGAAGTCCACGGGGCAGGAGGGACTTCCGTTCTCTGACCAAGTGTGAGACGGCGTCTTGTAGGCCAGGCGGGGCGTGGCAGGAAGCTGTCCTCTGGCCAGTCTGGGCGGGAGATAAAGGAATGCGTCATCTTTCGTGTGTATCGTGGGACAGAGCTTCCGTTGGCTCAGTAGAAGGCTTCGTGTGACCTTTTTCTTTGCGCACTAAAGCACTGGCTTTCGTAGCTGGGCACCGAGGTCTGAAGTCCTCAGAAGCGTCTGCTAACTGCCCCATGTCAGCACGAACGGGACATCTTGGCGCCGCGCACTCCTTGTCCCTGCATGTTCTGGTTTCGAGGCATTTCTCTCTGCATGCTGCTTTATGTGTCACCATTTTCCCGTGGACCTTGGCGTAATTACGTCCAGGGCTGCGACAAGTGTCTCCACCTGCGTCCGTGGCTCCCTTAGAAGCACTGGGAGCGGGTCCCCCGAGTGTGTCTGTTCACAAAGGGAGCGAGCGCAGTGCTGTCGGCGGTGCTGACCCGGCTCTCTGTGGTTCTCAGGCTCCCAGCGACCACCCCGGGGCAGCCGTGCCCTTCTACAGCCCCACTCAGTTTTCACAGGTCAGTGCCCTCCTGGCCCCCAGCCCGCGCCTGCTGACCCTTCTCCCTTCTTGGTCGGCCCTTTCCCGCTCCTGGCTCCCTCGCTTTCCTGCCGACACACTGCGCCGCGGGTCCGCCTCTGACTTCCACACGCGGGCCTGGGCCCTCCTCCCGGCCAGCCTGCGTCCTGCAGTTCGGGGTTGTTGCTGAACGTTCCCTTCCGTTTCTCTGCCTCTGCCGTCTCTCTTCTCCGTGCCCAGTTTTGCCCATAGCAGACAGACTGGCTGCCAGTTTGGGGCGAGCCAGGGCGGGGTGGTCCTGGCATTTAGGATGTAAATGCTCGCTTGAGCCCAGGTGTCCTGGTGTGGCTCCTGTCCTCATTGCCCGGGGTGACAGGGCCTGCTCCCTCTGTACCTGGCTCTCGTCCCCCTACCAGCCCGACTTTAGGGCTACCGCGTCCCACCCAAGTTACAACCTGGCCACCGTGCACCTGCTTTTCCACTCCCAAGATTTGCTTTTTTCCGTCCTGTTACCGCCATCTTGTAGTCATTATTTTACACAAATTCTTTGGCACACATTCCAGCCGGGGTGTGCGAGGAGGGTCAGGTAAACACCCGCATGCTGCCGCCGCTGCGGCCAGCCTCCTTGCTTCGCCACCTGGCCAAAGCGCACACCTTTAAGAACGATCGATTTGGTCCTGGCCTGGCCAGTTACCAGGGGGACTGCCTGTGGGTCGGTGTAGATGGTCCCACCCCCCCGCCCGAGTCTCGAGGTGTTCCCGGGGTGCCACCGGCCTCAGAGGCCTCGGGCACACGGAAGTCAGCGCTCTTCTTGTCTGCAGGCCTCGGCCCCCTCCGGAGGCTCCAGGATGGGGAGGATTGGCCAGAGGAAGTACCCAGCGTTGAGCTAGAAGAGTCCTCACCCTGGAGTAGCATCTGGAACCCTGAAGCCATCATTCTGCTCCAGCAAGAACTCAGATGGATCACCTGCACCGTCCCCGCGTCCCCGAAAGGGCACGCAGTGATGCCACGTGATGGAACCTATACTTTCACCGCCGTCTCCGAAGGGTGGCCCGAGGCAGGTGTGCAGCCCCTGGAAGGTGCTGGCTGGAGCGGGCGCTCTTGGCTCCTTCGTTCCCCAACGGTGATTTAAGGGTAAAACTGTCTGTCCTGGAAGAGCGTCATGCCGGGTGAGGCTGGAGATGTCTTTGCTGCAAGAAGGATCTCGCTCTTGAGGAACCCAGGTGTCTCTGCAAACCTAACTGTGCTTCCCTGCCCCTCAACCTCCACGGGGTCCTTTAAAATGCTGAGTGAAGAGCAAGCCTTGGGCCCAGGAGAGGCCCCACCGCCTTCCTGGCGGCCGTGGGAGGTCCTTTCTGCATCAAAGTCCCCGAGGAGCTGTGGGCTCGGTGGCAAGAATTCGGTTAGCTTTTGAGAGAGGCCCGAGTCCCCAAAGCGCATCTCCGGGTGGCAGAGACGTTTCCAGCTTCTTCTGTGCCCCATGCGAGCCAGGGGCCCGGCTTTGCCCGTCCACGGGGGGCGGCCCTGCGGCTGTGCCCCCCGCGGACTGGCCCCCATTGGTCCACCTTACTGGAACTGTCACTGTGACAAGTTGGACAGGGCTTTCTCCAGTCTGTGACAAGACTGACTAGACACCTCGAGGGGCCACAGTGCCCTCTGTGTCGCCGTCGGCACTGTGCTCTGTCCTGACTGGTCTTCACGGTGCCGTCCAGTTGCCTTGCTTTCTCTCACCTGGTTGCCGTCCTCTCAGGGTGGTGACATCTGGAAGAGAGGGCGGAACGGACTGTTGACACATGCTCTGAGTCCGAGGCTCTGTTCTTCCCGCACCAGATCCGCAGGTAGCGTGCGGCCTGCCAGCCTCGCGAAACCACAGAGGGGACCCTACCCCCCAGACTCCGAGCTTTACGGCTTCATCGACTGTTCAGAAAATTCCTCTCTCGTTCTTGTTAGGTCTGAAGAGACTACAGAAAAGATTTAAGTATTTATAAGAATCATTAGAAAATAATTTCTGTAGGTTCCCCCGGGGAGCGTAGTTTGCTTGGGGTCTTAAATCTAAATGCAGAAATGGTCTAACTGTGGAATCCGTGCAGGCCTCCTGTTTCCCCTGGGCCCTGGGTCATCTCGGAAGGGCCACGGAAGTTGTCCCGTGGTGTCACCCATACGCACGTCTGGGTGCATTTGTTCACTTGGAGAGAGGCCGGGACTGATTGACGGGGCAGCAGCCTCTTGTGTCCCTTGGTCCGCGCTCGGGGGGGGGGGGGGTCCTGGGACCCCAGACCCTCCTGGCGCCACACCCCTGGCTTCCTCCGCCTGGCCTGCCCACCGTTGCCCGCACCGGCTGCCAGCGACTTTTGATTCAAGAAGCTCCCTGCGAGGCCAGGTGGGAGCTGCTATTTTTCCTAAATGCAAATTGTTACACTGCAAATTGGTAAATAAAGTATTTTGCGCTCGCAAGCGCTGTCATCAGTTGCTTCCTTCTGTCTGTGGGTCACTGTGGATGGTGGGGTGGGGGGAACAAGGCCCCTGCCTGGGGCTGCGAGCTTGAGGGGCTTTGCGTTGGGCGCGGGTGGGTTCGCTGGAGAGCCCCCACCCCTAACCCCTCGACAGCAGGTGGGGTGCGCCCCTTGGGGAGGCCTGCCCCAGTGTGTGTCGTCCCTCCGCCCCGGCCCTGCCCCCGGCCCAGGAAGCTGCAGGGTGGGAAAGGGGGACTGTTCCGCGCTCTCGGGCGTGCGCTGGGTCCTCCGGCCGGCAGGGGCCGCTGCGAGGACCGAGCCTGGCCTTTCTCGGACGCTCGTTTTCCGGGAGCGGCCGCCAGGCCGCAGGGCCGGGGAGCGGGCGGCGCGTTGAGGTGGGTGCAGGGCCCGGGGTGGCCCCTGGACGGGTATGCGGGGCGATCTCCGGGCAGGGGTGCGGGTCTGGAGCGCGGCGTGACCCCTAGACGGGGACGCGGATCCGGGGCGCCGGGTGACCCCTGGGCGGGGTTAAGGGCGCAGGTCCGAAGCGCGGAGTGACCCCTGGGCTGGGCGGGGGCGCGAGTCTGGAGCGCGGGGCGACCGGGAACGGCGCGGGGACGTGAGTCCAGGGCGTGGGGTAACCCTTTGCAGGGGCGGGGACGCGTATCCAGGGCGCGGGGCGACCCCGGGGTGGGGCGGGGGCGCGAGCCCGGAGCGAGGGTTGATCCCTGGGCGGGGGCTGGGGACACGGGCCGGGGGCGGGGTCCTCCTGCGCTGCGGTCGTTGCCCTGCGGCCCCGCGGACTCGCAGGTTCTGAGCCCGGGCCTGCGGCGGCAGCGGCGGCCCGGCGGGCGGAGGGGGCCTCCCTCGGGGCGGGGTCTGCGGGAGGAGCGGCGGTGGTGGGCACGCAGGTGAGAGAGGGTGTGGGGACCCTTCCCCCGTCCGAGGCTGCTCGAACTGGCCTTGACCTTTGGGTTGTGGTTCTGCCCTGGTCCTCCCCCAGAGCCCCAGGAAGGCACAGGCCCAGTCTGCGCGGTGGCTTCCCGGGAGGAGGTGGCAGGCGACACGTCTGAGTGTGTGTTCTCGCTAGACGGCTGCCGGCCTGTCCCTCTGTCTCCCTGCACTGCAGTCCCATGGGAGCAGTCACATGGCACGGGGGTCGTGGCTGTCCCGGGCTAATAGCTCGGTTTTCCTGTAGGTTCCTGTGGGGGACTGCAGGACTTCTGGCTTCCCAGCCATGGAGCAGCGGGCCCTGCCCCCACTGGCCGGCCCCAGGCCTGAAGAGGAGCCCCTGCGCCTTCTCTCCTCCGCAGCTGCCCACCATGGTCTGGCCGTGCATCCCTGACCCTGGGCTTCCCTGGCAGCCCAGAGCGGGAACTGTCCCCTGGCAGCAGAGGGGGGCGTGGGCTGCCAGAGCCTGGGAGAGCCGGCCCCTGGACTATGCCATCCAGGTTAGCGGGCGTGGGCCGTTCAGGGGCGTCTCCCCCGCAGCCCGCCGCCCAGGGCCATCTGCAGCCTGAAGACAGAATGCTCAAGGGACAGCTTCCAAACACGGGCAAAGACCTCGCAGCCCACCCAGGGTCCCCACCTGCCAACAATGGTGAGGGCCCTGAGAAGAGCCCAGTGCTCCCCCCGAAACTTCCAGCACAGGTCAGCAACGAGGACCCACAAGCCGAGGCAACAAGCTTCACCCCAAAGCCACCGCCGAGGCCCCGGCTGGAGCGAGCGCTGTCCCTGGACGAGAAGGCGTGGAGGAGGCGGCGTTTTCCAAGCAGCCACGAGGACCTGGCGGCGCACGTCGGGGCCAGCCCCTGTAGGGGCTCCACCCAGGACGAGGTCCTCAGGCCCCCCGCCCACACCGACTCCCCACACTGCCTGAGCGCCTCCTTGCAGGAGATCCCCACGTCCCGCAGGGCCCAGGGCAGCGCGGGAGGGAGCCCTTCCTCATGGGGTCACTGTATCTCCGGGATGATCAGCACTTCCCTGGACGTCCTGCACCGGGACGGGACCTCAGCCCGGAGCCCCGCCAGGCTGCCCGCTGTGGACCAGAAGGTGGCCTCCGCTTTCCTGCGGCCGGCCGACCGGGCGGACTCGGGTCAGGCCGACCTCAAGGCCCGCCTGCCGAGCAGACTTTTCCGGGCCTATAGCAGCCTGGGCCCCGGCCGGCCCCCGAGTCCCCTGGCCTCTGAGGCCAGATCCCCCTTTAGCCTGCTGGCTCCCATCCGCGCCAAGGACGTCCGGACAAGGTAGGGCCCCAGGGGGGCGGGAGGGGCACCATCGGTGGCCTGGGCTTTAGCGTTCATGTGCGGCCTCCACGAGAAGCACATGAACGTTTTCTCACAAGACTGTGCGGTGTGGAGGTGTGGAGAAGCTCCTTCCCAGAGGGTCACGCCTTCGAGAACTTTCCGTTTTGGCACCACTCAGGGCTGTGCGCCTACAAAACATGGTTCAGAGGCGTGCGTGACCTTCTCCCCACAGCTCTGCGTCTTGTTTGCTCTCCCTTGTGTGTGTCGGGACAGGCTCCTGGGGCTGTTGGCTGCGCGCCCGCCCCACTGGCCATCGGCTCCCGTTGGCCCCACAACCACGGAGGGCGCTTGGTTTCCAGGCCTTATGGGACCTGAGAAGCTAATGCATTTGGCCTTTGCTACAGCTTATAAAGAACCTAGCCAGGCGCCGCCCCCCCCAACCCGCCGCTGATGTCTCTCCTTTGCACCGGGGTCCCCGATACTTCTGAGCCCAGCCTGTCCAAGCCCACAAGTCTGGTCTTCTCCGGCGTCCTCAGCTATGGGGCTCACGCTGCGGCTGGAACAGGCCTCCCCTGCCTGCTCCTCCGGTGCCAGGCCTGGCCGCTGACCGCTCTCGACACTCCTGCCACTTGGCCCGGGCCTCTGTTCCCTGCCTGGGCTGGGCCGGTTGTTTGAAGCACACACAGGCCCCGACTTGGGGGTCCCCACGCCACCCACTCCCCAACATGGCACCCAAGGCCCCAAGTGAGGCCCCGGCCCCACTTGCCTCACCAGACTCCTCACCACCACCCCACCTGCTGCCCTCTCCAGTCCAGACCAGGCCGGCACCCGCCCAGCCGGGCACAGAGTCCGCAGAAGGTGGGGTGGTCACTGTGCTGGTGTCCACCACCTGGGACCCCGAAGCAGAAACCCTAAAACAATAGGACCGTCTCTACCCCTTCTGGAGCCCTCAAGTCAGAGCCCACGGTGTCGCAGGCTGCACTCCTTCCAGAGGCTCCAGGGGAGGGTCCTTCCTGCTCTTCCAGTTCCCGGTGGCCCCCTTGCCTCTGCCCGCACGCGGTGCTCCGCCAGGGTCTGCGTCTCTCCTCTCACGAGGGCGCTGGTCGTTGACTCTAGCACCCAAACAAAACCCGGGACGCTCTCAGGTGGCCATCCTTCACTAGCCACACTGCAACGCCCCCGTGGCCACAGAGGTCCCCCCGTGCGCTCTTGTCGTCGGGAAGCAGGGGAAGCTGGGGGCAAGCGCGGCTGCGCCAGCCAGAACCGGATCCTCCGCTAGGGCTTTGGGCACGTGGCGCACTTGGCGCAGCTGCGGTTACCTGTGTGCGCTCGGCACGCGGTGCCGAGGATGGGACTGTCATCTCCGAGCCGGCTCCTCGGTCCCCGCTTTCAGACAAGCAGCAAACAGGAGGTTGGTGGGGGTCCCTCAGCCCAGATCCGCGTGCAACGACCCCATCTCCAGCCCCTCGGCGTGCGCCGGGCCCCGGGAGCGGCTGCCCGCAGGTGGGGGGCAGCCACACTTCACGTGAGGACACTGACGCTCGGATTCTGTGTCATTTTCCCATGTCACCAAACACGGGGTTTTCTTCCCCAGCCATTTGTAAGTGTGAAGACAGCCCTTAGCTCGTGGACTGGCCACAAACAGCTGGGACATGGGCGAGGTCGGAGCGGACGCCCCGCGCTCAGGGTGTTGCAGGCCACAGGCACCACCATGGCTGACCCCACGGCCTGTGGGTCCTGAGAGGACACCGTGCCCTCAGGCACAGACTGGGGGCTCCTTTGGGGCCCCCGAGGCCAGGAGGCAGAGGCTCTCCAGGTGCATGACTGCGGGGTGTGGCCGTAGCCTGCCGGGGCTCCTGGAGTAGGGCTGAGGCAGCAGGGCCCATCTGGGCACGATCGAGTGTGTGTCCTGCACCGCCCAGGGAGGATGTGGGAATCGCTCCTCGGGGCTCCTGAGAACTGCTTTCTGCTCGCAGCGGTCAGCAAGGGCTCCTGAACCTCGCGGGCGATCTGACTTCCTTCAAAGGAGCGGGTTCCTACTCGCAAGACTAAGCTGTGAGGTTTTCTCAGCGAGTTGGGGTGAAGAGTCACCAGAGGCTTGGAAGGTCCCCGGGGTGGCCATTACAGACGCTGGGTTGGCTTCTCAAGGCTGCCGTAGAAGGGGCCGTCCGTGGGGAAGCCGTGGTGTCGGGCCAGGCCGGCCGGTGCGAGGCCTGCGCTGCAGGCATGGGCAGGCAGCGTGGGGGGCAGAAGCCAGGCGCGATGGGCTGTGCCCGGTGGTCCACCCCAGTGTTCGGAGCCCACCAGACCTTCTTCCCGCACCGCAGTGCCCAGCTGCCAGGCCTTGGCACAGAACCTCCTAGGCCCCCACCCACCCCTGACAGACGGGACTGGGGCAGCCCTGCCAGCTGCCCCGGAAGGTGGAAAGAGCCCTCATTTGCATGCGGCCATCAAGGTGATGGCTGACGAGGGATGTTCTCGTGGACAGATCAGGGTACCAGCCCATCATGGTGTCACCGGAGTAGGCATAGGACCCACAGAGCTTATCGGGGCACATGTGTAGGAAAGGGGGAGGGAGTCTAATCAGTGTCTGACACAGCCAGCACTCAGGACATGATGAAGCTCCCCTCTGGGCACTGGGGGGACCCATGGCCAGTGTGTACAGCGGATGATGGCACTGGGGCGGGGCGGGGGGACCGGTGGTCAGTGTCTGCAGCAGATGGATGGCACTAAAAGACCTAGAAGACAAAATGACCGAACACTGGTGTGGCTATTGCTTGGTTGCTGATTCTGGGAGCATCCTGATCTCCAGCTGGGTTGGAAGAAGGTTCTGGAAGGGGAGCTCCCAGCAAGAGGAGGACCCCAGACAGTTGGAGAAAGGAGGACTCATATGAACACCGTGCAAGAAGTGAGAGGTTGCAGGGAGGCTGGTGTCGCACCCCAGCGCGGGTGACCAAGCCTGTGTGCAGGAGAGAGCAGCCCGGTGGCCACGGCTAGGCAAGTGTGTGAGCGCAGTTTTAGCACACTTTGTGTGATCCGTCGGCTGAGGACGGTTTTTTTCATGGTTGAGAAACCTGGTCTAATGTCTCCCGAGACATGAAAATCACACATCGGAGCCTGCAGGCCCCGGTGACGCTCCATCACTGCCCAGGCTCGCCCCCTGCGAGTGGGCTCCGCGAGGCTGCTGTCGCCAGGGTCCGACGCAGCTGGAACCATGCGCGCGCACGCTATGCTCCGGAACCCTTGAAGCAGGCATGACCGGTGGTTGTCGCGAGGGTGGACATGTCCCCTGTAGCTTTCAGGTCCCTGGAGGCCACGCTGAGGTGAAGGGCACGCATCACCCTGGCTGCTGCTGTCCAGGGCAAAGAGCCCAGATGTCCCCTCAAGTTGCTCGTCTGCGGACGTGACGGAAAAGTTGAACACGTGCCGGTGTTTGTAGCATGGGGAACAGAGAGGGTTTTCCGAGAGGGCAGTGGACCATCGCGCTGTGCCCCCTGTCGACCTGCGGGCTCTCGGGAAACCCCAGCTCTGGGAGAGCCTCCCGAAAACGGCGGGGGCCCGAGGTGACAGGTGCGGCTGGGCGGTGTCCCCTGCACCTGGTCGGATCCTCGACCCCCGGCTGCTCATTCTCCACAGGAGCTACCTGGAGGGGAGTCTCCTGGCGAGCGGGGCCCTCATGGGGGCGGAGGAGCTGGCCCGGTACTTCCCGGACCGCAGCATGGCCCTCTTCGTGGCCACCTGGAACATGCAGGGCCAGAAGGTAAGCCGCCTGCTCCCGCTCCGGTTCTCTCCCAGGGCTGCCGGCCGCACACGGTCTGCCCGGGCTCTCCCCAGCAGCCGGGACGCCCGGAAGGCCCCGGCCTCACCCACCTCCCCACTGCCTGCTGGGGGAGGACGTGCTTTTCTGACACGGGAGCTTGCGGCTCCCAGCAGATGGGCAGGGAACAGAGACCTCCCTGGGGCCCCCACCCCCACGCACAACCTCCCCCCGCCGCCCCATCCACACCCCACCGCCGGACCAGCTGTGGCTGTCGGTGAGCCCGCAAGGCCGGGTCTGGTTCTTGTCACCTTGGGGTCACTTTGGGTTTCGTTCATTCGGCTACCTGTGTGCGGAGGTGGCAGTGGAGACCTCCAGCCACTCTGCCGTGACGGCTGCTTTGTGTCCTGACTGCCAGTCGCTCAGGGCCAGACTGCACAAGCCAGAGGACTGGCTCTTGCTTCAGGGGAGCCCCTTGGGCCCCGTGCTGGTGGCTTTCTCGCCAGCTCAGCCGTCTCTCCCTGGGACGACTCCTCACGGCAAGGACTGTCCTTGGGTTGGTGGTCTCCATCTCCTCTATGTGGGGTGCTCTGATTTCTGAGGGCCGGGCGTGGGCTTCCTTCACTGTGGGCGATCCTAGCGCGCCCCGGGGTGCAGCAAAGGGCACGGTGGCCCGGGCTGGCCATGGGGGACGGGCGCTGGGGAGGAAACAAGGCAGGGCCACCTCCTGCTCAGGGTTTGGCTGAGTAACTAGGAGTCCCAACAGCACAGGCTCCGGAGGGAGACAAGTGATTCTCCCTCACGCTCAAGGAGGAGGCAGGTGCCCGGGCTGGCGGCCCCACTGTCCCAGGGATACCACTGGGCCTGTCCAGGGCATGGCGCTCTTGTCCAGGGCCCCCGAGGGCTCGGAGGCTATGCACATCCAGCCACGGGGAGGAGCGCTCACGTCCAGGGCCACGGCACCCTGGCCCAGGCAGCACCACCTCCCCACCCAGGGCATATCTGGGGGCGCGGGGCACAGAGGCAGGCATGGCGGTGACCAGTTGGGGTGGAGGGAGGCCTGCCTGGATGCGTCGCATGGGCCATGCTGGTCCCCAGGCTGTGGGAGAGGCTGGGCCGCTGGCCCCGCGGGAGGCCCTTGATACACACGGTTCCCTGCAGGAGCTGCCCCCGAACCTGGACGAGCTCCTGCTGCCCACCGAGGCCGACTACGCCCAGGACCTGTATGTCGTCGGGGTCCAGGAGGGCTGCTCCGACAGGTAGGGAGCACCCCTGCCCTACGTCTGCCCAGCCCGTCAGCCCTGTGGGTCCCTGGGAACGGCGCTGAGGTGGGCCTTTGGGGCCAGGGCTGCCCGCCAGAGCTGCCTCCGGGCCCATGAGCAGCTCCGAGAACTGAGAATAAACGAGCTTCGCTTGCTGACGCTCCGCTGATGGAGAGGCCGCGAAGAGCGGCGGACCCCCGGCTACAGCCTGACCCCTGCGTGGGCTCCTAGGTCTGCAGCGTCCTGGCACTCCGGTGCCCCCTCAGGCAGCCGCAGGAGGCCCGCCGCGTGCAGGTGCCCCCGACCTAGGGGAAGGGTACGGGCTCCAGGCCTCCAGAGTAGCCGGAGAGCACGCTGGGACCAGTACCGGAGATAGACAAGGCCGCCCGGGGCCCTCGTGTTGCTTGTCCGCCCGCCATTCGCCCTGCAGGACGTGGCCGGACAGCGGGACTCTGGGCTGCAGGGTGAGGGGCAGCGGGGCTGGGGGTTCCAGTCCCCCTTCCCAGGCTGCCCCGGCCTCCGTCCACAGGCGGGAGTGGGAGACGCGCCTGCAGGAGACGCTGGGCCCCCGCTACGTGACGCTGTACTCGGCGGCGCACGGGGCGCTCTACATGTCTGTGCTCATCCGCAGGGACCTCATCTGGTTCTGCTCAGGTAGGCGGGCCGCTGTGCTCCGCGCCGCCGCCGGGGCAGCCCCGGCCTCGTGCGGCAGGGGCGCGCAGGGCGAGCGGGGCCAGCCGTGTCACCCCGCTCTGTCCCGCAGAGGTGGAGAGCTCCACGGTGACCACACGCATCGTATCTCACATCAAGACCAAGGGGGCCCTGGGCGTCAGCTTCACCTTCTTTGGCACCTCCCTCCTCTTCATCACGTCGCACTTCACCTGTGAGTCCCCGGCGTGCGGGACACCGCGCCCCGTCACTGCCGGGAGGGGTCCGGGAGGCAGAGGCCCCGCTACCTGCAACGGTGTCGTCCGGTCGCGCCCCGCTCCGTGGTGGGCATCGGGGAGGAGGCCGTGGGGCGGACGCCGAGAGCGCCGGCGGAACAGCGGCTGGGGGGCAGCGAGCACGCGGGTGTCGCCTGTGTCTGCGAGCCCCACTGCAGAGGCCCCGTGCTCTGTTCTCTCCCAGCTGGCGACGGGAAGGTGAGCGAGCGGCTGCTGGACTACAGCAGAACCGTCCAGGGCCTGGCCTTGCCCAGGAGCGTGCCCGACACCAGCCCCTACCGCTCCGACGCCGGTGAGCTCCCTCCACGTGCTTCTGCCTCGCTCTCTGGGTAGTTCAGTGAAAGAGACTTTGGGAGCTTTTAAGAATCAAGGTCGGGAAAGTCTAGAAAGCCACCAGGTAACAGGAAAAAGACCGCTCCGAGGCCTGGCGCCGGGCTCCTCACGAGCTGGGCCGGTCAGCCCGTTGGCGGCTGGCGTTCACCAGGAGCCCGGCGCCCCCAGCCCCGCTCTGCATCCCCCACAGGCCCTCCTGCCTCCCGGCTGCCCTACGGGGGCAGCGCCCTGGCAGAGGCGGCGTGTGTGGGCCGCGTGGGCTCCTGTGAGCATGGGCCGTCACGCGGTCCCCGCATGGCTGTTGCTGTGGGAAGTGAGAATCGTGAACCTGTCGAGAGGCTGCGGGGCACTGCCCCAAGGCTGGGGCGGCAGCACCTTCCCTGGGGAGTCCTTGCATGTGGCTCCGGCGGCAGGACACCGACCAGACCAGTCCCTGTCGCTAAGGCGCGGTGAGCGCGGGAAGGGCTGGGCTCACGCACTTTCCCATTTGGCCAGCGGATGTTACCACCCGGTTCGATGGGGTGTTCTGGTTCGGAGACTTCAACTTCCGTCTGAGCGGCGGGCGCGTGGCCGTGGAGGCCATCCTGAAGCAGGACCTGGGGGAGAAGGTGTCGGCCCTGCTCCAGCATGACCAGCTCACCCAGGAGATGAAGAAAGGTGAGGGCCGGTGGGTGGGGGCTCCCCGCCCCCAAGAGGGCACGGCCTGTGGGGTTGACGCGGGGCTGGGACTGTTCCAGGGTCCATCTTCAAGGGTTTCCAGGAGCCGGACATCCACTTTCTTCCGTCGTACAAGTTCGACATCGGGAAGGACTCCTACGACACCACCTCCAAGCAGAGGACCCCCTCCTACACGGTGAGCAGTCGCCGGGGGCCAGCCCGGCTCTGCGGCCGAGCTCCGGGGCCGCTCGTGCTGGCGAACCGGAGGCTGCGGACTGAGGCCGGGCTAGCGGGCAGCGCCCTGGGGGGCTGCAGGGCGTGCAGGGTGCGGTCAGACTCGGGCCTGAGCCACTCCAGACCAGTGACCACAGCTCTCGGAGCCTGCTGGGGCTGGGAGCAGTGCCCTCCGACGGAGGCCCTTCTGGGGGTCGGCAGCCGGTCCCTGGACCGCGAGGCACGTGCCGCACGCTATCACTTGGCTGAGTTGTTTGTGGTGGGACCCCCGCGGTTGGCTCCGGGTTCCAAGCCTGAAGCTGCTGCCTCGGCCTGGTCTGCACCCAGTGCCCACACACCGGTTGGTGCCCTGGGCCCAGGGGAGGGGCTCCAGAGGGTGAGGTCTGACGCAGGGACAGGTATGCAGGCCAAGAAACCAGGGGGCATCGGGGCCCCCGTCTGTGGGCTCTTTTCTACAGGACCGGGTTATGTACAAGAGCCGCCACAAGGGTGACATCTGTCCCATCAAGTACTCCTCCTGCCCAGGCATCAAGACATCTGACCACCGCCCCGTGTACGGCCTGTTCCGGGTCAAAGTGAGGCCGGGGAGAGACAAGTCAGTACCCTGGCCACATGTCCTCACGTTTCCGGCTCTCGGGGCCCGGGGCGGGGGTGGGGAACGGGATTCCTGATCTGAAGTGGCTGTCACACAGGCAACACGCCCAGGGTCGGGGCTGGCCGGCTCTTCCTGACACGTGTACCAGCCCAGGCCACGGAGGGGTTTCTCATCGTGGACGGTGGCCACGCTGCGGTGTGCGGCAGGTCCCGGTGGAAACAGCCAGGCCCTCCCAGCTGCCACCCTTTCTTCCACAGCATCCCGCTAGCTGCCGGCAAGTTTGACAGAGAACTGTACTTAATAGGAATTAAAAGACGCATTTCCAGAGAGATCCAGAGGCAGCAGGCGCTGAAGGCTCAGCACTCAAGCAGCATCTGCACTGTCTCCTGAGGGTGCCCGAGGACCCTCGTCACCCACCTGGGAGGTTACTTGACCAAAAGCCCCTAAAAAGGAAGAAGAGGTTGCTGTGTGGGACTTCTGCTTCTGGGCAGCGGGCGGACCCATGCTCGAGGCTGACCTGCTTCCTTACCAAGAACCCCACGGGGAGGCCAGAAGACCGGCCAGGCGGTACCACGGCGCCGGTGCCTGGAATGGAACCAGCCACGCTCCTCAGCAGCACGGCCCGAGTCAGGCCCCACACCGGCCACGCCACCTGCGTGGTCCCTCGGGGCAGGTGTCCAGGTGGGTTGTGGCGGGGCCTGGAGCGGCTCGCTTGCCCACAGCTGACGTCGACAGCGCTCGCCTTGTGGACCTGCCGCCCCGCAGCGCTAACTGGGAGGTGCCCTTCTCCGTCTGAGCACAGGGGTCCTGGACTGAAGCAGGCGAGCTGCTCGGGGTCTCCGTCCCACCGGTGCTCGAGGACCAAGGCCAGGCCCAGCTGGACGGGCCAGAGCCAGCGGACTTCCAAGGAGGGAGTGCGCTCCCACGGCCCCACTGGGACAAGAAGGCCTGGCCTGTTTCTGGGCCGCCTCTGGTCTTCGGGGGGGCTGGCCCGGCCCCTCCAGCCATGAAACCATTTCCCTGCCCTCTTCTGGTTTTGGTGATTTCAGACCATTGGCACACATATCGTCAGCCACAGATAGCGTTAACAAAGCCTCGGGTGTCCCCACCACATTCCAGATCTCCTCTTTCTTCTGGGGCTGAGCCCGTGATCACCCACCGTGGTTCCTAAAGATAGCCTCTGTAAGTGGGAAGACCAGGGGGCACTCGATCTAGTCTTAAATTATTTATTTTTCCATATTTATATTTTTAAATAAATCCATATATTAAATCTTGAACTCTTTCTGGCCAAAGACCGAGTCCTAGAAAGAGCTCATCTGTACGCACGGCCCATTCTCCTGATGTCTCAGAGAACAAGGTCGTCCAATGGCAGGTATGGCATACACTGCGCCCAGCTGCCACCCCGACTGTGGGGCTGGCGGGAAAGGGACTTTTAAGGGAGAAGGGGACACTCCAGACCTGAGCGGAGGAAACAAGGCCCCTTCCGAAGGCCAGTGTACCTGCTCTGTGAGCGCCCACTTCTGCAGCACGGAGCCGGGCACAGCCGGTCTGACACGGGAAGGTCTGTTCATGAGACGGTCCAGTCAACCCCATCGGACCTGAAACTTGTCTGTCTGTATAAAATTTTGCTCAAAGAAACGTGCTGTTGAGTTTTGAATTGTGAACTGAAAATGTCTGTCACAGATTTTTGTGGTGAGGGGCCTGGGGAGGCCTTTTCATGCACCTTCCTGGGTACTGTCCTGACGATGGGACCGAGCCATGGCGTGGTGTGTAGGCAGTCTGGCCTGAGACAGGGCTTTGTGTCTTTGGGGATCAGGACACGGGTCACGGGTCCCGAGTCAGGACAAGTCAGGAAGCACGAGCAGGAACGGGGTTCTCATGACCCGACTCTCGTGGCCTCCCCACACTCTGCTCACGCCAAGCCTCCCTCTGGCACCTGCTGAGCCTGAGCCGGCCACCCTGAAAGCCACGGTGAGGGGGGGTGTGACGATGTGCTGCGGAAGTCAGAGGTGCCCAGCCGTGACGGGGCCAGGGAAGGAGCCAGTGGGAAAGCAGGACAGGCAGCTTGGCACCAGCTTCTGAACAGACTCCGGGGCCTGGGCAGCAGCCAGATGTGGTCAGAGGCTCAAGCCCAGCTGCGCGGACGCTCTGGCTGGACCCAACACCCACCCGGGCCTCGGTCTTCCCAGGCTCTGCCTTCCCACCCCCCACCCCCCAGCACGCCCACCGTGCAGCTAACCTTCTGCCCTCCATCTCCCTTGGGTGCTGCCCTTCCCCTGGGTAACCAGAGAACGGCACAGTCCACCTTCCCTCTGACTCAGGCTCATCTCCCTCGGCCCCACCCCAGTGGGCACAGAGCCTGGCACCCACCCCCCCAAATGCAGTCACCGGCGCGTGTGCTGGAAAAGCACGGAAACAGAACGGCAGCCCCGGCAAAGTGGATTAAGTAACTGAAGAAACATTTACGCGTTGATCTCCCCAAAGCAGCCCTGCCCTCCCGCCCTAGCGGCCGAGGCTGGGCTGCAGGCTCTGTCCCCAGCTGCTGAGTGCTAGGGACCGGGGTGGCCCTGCAGCCACGAGAGGTGGCCCGCATGGGCTCCGGGGACTCCACGTGCATTCATGTCTGAGACCTACGAAGCTACCACACGTCACTGACGTCACAGGCCCCGCGGCGCTCCACATCCAGCCACGCACCCGCAGGACCTAGTGCTCCTCCGCCTTCCAGCAAGCTCCTGGCTTTGCTCTCCCTCCGGCCGCCGAGTCTGAGAACCCCGCCTCCCGTCCTGTGCACTCGGACGCATCTTAAAGGAAAGGACGAGAGGCTTCGTGATACCGGGTCCAAGGCCTCCCCTTGGAGACAGCTCGCTTGCCCACGTCCAACCCTGTTCTAGGGCCGCTGCTGACTGAGACAATGGTAAAGGGGACACTGTGCTGAGGAAAACGCCCCTTGAAGCCAACCAGGGGCTCCTGCCCCGCCCCGGGGCCTGTGGGGAGGCTGGGCGGGCTCATGGGCCCCGTGGCCTCTGTGGGGAGACGGTCAGGCGCTGACCGACTCAAGACGGCTCACCTCCAGGAGCGCAGGACGGAAGGAAGAGCGCTAACCCACTCCCCGGCACCAGTCGGCCTGGAACTTTCCCGTGAGCCACCAGTTTCTAGCCACGCTGAGGGCAGACCTCTACTGAGTGGCCTAGTCAACAGCAAAGAACCAGAAGCTCGATGACATTAAACGTGTTCAAATTTAAGAGCAGAGTCGCGTGGTTTGCACCGTTTATCAATCTTTGCACTAAACTCACACCCGAAGAGACACGCCGCACCCACCGCCCGGTCGGGCCGCGTCTCGGACAGCCTCTAGCGGAAGAGCCGGTAGGTCCTGGGCAGGCGCCCGTCTCGGCTGGACAGCGCCGCCTGGATGTGCTCGTGGGCGGGCAGGTCACGCAGGTCACCCAGGGCGGCCACCGCGGGCTTCCTGCGGAGCATCTGCGAGGCAGCTCTCCGGATGTCCTCTGGTTTCACGCTGCCTGGCACAGGGGACAAAAGGACCTCAGGAGCACGGCCGCCTCCCGCACGGACTCCGTCTCCGTGCGTGGCTGCAGCCACGGAACAGCCCCGGGGACCGAGGCCGGGCTGCAGACTCCAGACTCCAGAGGGTCCAGATTCCGCTGCGAGGAAACGACACCGTGAGTGAGGCTGAGGTCAGGGAGGTTTTCTTGGTGAAGGGGGAAGTACCAATGGTTTTAAAGGATTTTCAAACGCGAGACGTGTCCGTTCCCAGAGCAGCCGACACCCCCGTGAAGGAACAGGTCCGTCTGCACAGCAGCCCCGGGAGAGGCCGCAGGGAAGGAAAAGCACCGCCGCCCGGGGCTCCGTAGGGTGGGCGGTCACACACGGCCGCCTTCCGAGGCGGGACCTGGGGCCTCCGCGTGGGTGGGCACGGAAAGCGCAGCGGGGAACACGGCGACCGGTGACGCGATGCTGCTACAGAAGACGAGGCCTTAGGGAGCGCGGCGTGCGGAGCACCGCGGCCTGAGGGGCTCCCCGAGGCGGGGTAAGGATGTACCTGTGGACGAGGCACGCGGGACCTGCCAGGAGGTAACAAACGTCACCACAGAACCACCGTCCCAACCCTTGTGGGCTCACGGACCCTCTGAGGAGCTGATGCAGTGTGGACAGACTCGTCCCTCAAAGCGGGAGGGACACACAGAGGAAACTCAAGGACTTCCTGTATGGTCACTCCTGGGAGGTCATGGCAACCTCGGTGCAAGTCACAGAGGGAGACCCCCGTGAGCCGCGTGTGGAGCAACTCTGTCCGTTACCTCACCGAGTGTGCCCGGAAGCCCGCGCGGCAGGCATGGCCCCTCTGTGAGGCGCTGGAAGCTGGAGTCGCCGGGCTCGGCTCTCAGGGACGGGAGGCAGGGCCAGCCCAGGGCGAGGGCTCAGGGGCGCGAGAGCCACAGGTCAGCGGGGCTGTGTGGTCCCCCGAGAGGGAGCCCGATCGGGCCGGCGGGCCGGTACTCACGGATGAGCGTGCACAGCTCGTGCGGCAGCTTCCTGGAGCGCGTGGCCAGCACCTGCCTCCCCACGTCCTCGAAGATCACGGGCCTGGACTCGAGGTTCATCATGAGCATGGACATCAGCTGCGTCTTGGCCCGCTCCAGCTCCGCCTGAGACGCAACACCCCGCCCCACGGTTCAGCTCGAGGCGGCTCCAGCGCCGTCGCCCGCTCTCGGCCGCAGCACGAGCAAGACGGATCTTAGAGTCGGGGGCTCCCCACGCCCCCAGGCAGCTCCGAGGGGACCAGCTAGATCTACCGCAGTCTGGCCTTGAGCTGCGGAGCACGTGAGATGGACAACACCGTGACTCCTGCAAGTTCTGCTCCCAGCGCTCCACCAGACACCAGAGGGCGCAGAAAGTCACGCGAGGTGATAGGCGGGGCGGGCGCGCAACCAGAGACAGAGCCGAGATCCCTTGTGGTCGTCTCCGTGAGGATTCCTGATTCCTGACGGGTTCTCCCTACTCTTCCTACTCCGGGCAAATACTTAACCCTTACCTCAGACTAGCTCCATTTCAATGGAAGTATTTCCTAGCAGGCTGCCAACCAAGGCCCAACATAAATTTTTAAATACGTGTTCTTAAAATGAGTTTTTTGAAATATGTTTTTATTAGAAACGACCTTTTTTCCTGACTAGAAATGGGACCACATGATTACTGCAAAAAGCACGGAATGAGCAGGAAAGATCTGCAGGGGACGGCCGTCCGCCAAGCCTCGCAGGCACTCGGGCCACACGCTGGGGCTCTCCGCCCAGGCCTTCTACGCACGCGCACAGAACCTGCTTATTTGTGCCAGCGCTGGTCCAGCAAGAAACAAGATTTCTAAATGCGTAAAGTGACAAAAACTAACTCCCAAAAAACAAGGAAACAAAGACATAGGTTAAAATACAAAACGGGAGCTCAGCGCGCCCGGTGGGCTCTATCCGCAGAGCATGTGGCTTTTGGTCTCAGGGCCATGAGCTTCAGCCCCACGCTGCGGAGATTACTTCAAAAATAAAATCTTTAAAGACAAAACCAAACCAAACCAAAAAAGCAAAATAAAAAATACACTGGAAGTGAGGAGAGAGCCTGAGAACCACCTGAAGGCACCTGCTCATCCCGTGTGATGTGGCTTTAATTCACACGGTCCTGCAGGGCAGCCGGACACACAAAGACCGCTCGGCCTCATTCCTTCCGGCAAAGCCGAAGGAGGCCCCAGGCCAGGCAGGTGTGAGCAGGCCCAGGGCGGGTGAGGCAGCAACTGTTCTCGGTGCTGACAGCAAGGAGCAGGCGGGGAGCTCGGCTGTGGGCCTGGGCCACCCCGGGGGCTGCACTATTCTGAGATGCCGGCAGGGCTGGGAGCATGGAGGACGGGCCCACTGCCAGCCACCCCCACACCACGTTCTCTAACCTGCTGACACCGCGGGGACGTCTGGAGATGGCTCTGTGCTGTACTTACCACATCCACGGTTCCAGCCATTAAAATAAATTCCTTCGTGAGGATCTCCACCATTTCTCGAACCTTTAAGGAAGAGGACACAGATGAGGGGTGTGATCCAGACTAAGAGTCTCTCTTCCAATTCAGACGAAACGCCCGAGAGCCCGGCTCTGTGTCTTGACACACAAGCCGCACAGGAAGCGGAGGCCACCAGCTTTGGGCCCAGCCCTCACCTGCCGGGGGTCGGCGCTGGCGTGCACGCACAGGAGGCCCGTGTCCTCGTAACTGTGGTGGTACGAAGTCGCATTGTACATCCAGTGGTGCCTGCAAAGGACAGGGACAAGACAGTGGCACAGTGCAAAAGTGCCCTCAGCTGGGCCTGATGGCGCAGGGACAGCTAGTGAAAGCAAGTCAAGCTACCTGTTGAGCACGTTGAGGTAGAGCCTGGTGAACATGCCTTTGCCAGGCCCACCCGCGGAGAAGGAGCCGCCGCCTCCCATCATCATGTTGAGAACGGCGAAGGGGATGAAGTCGTCCTCCTGCGGGAGACACGAGGGCAGAACTCGCCGGGGGGCAACGCCAGACTCCCAGACGTGGGGGGCCCAGCTGAAACTTACCAAGAAGGAACAGCTCTCCAGTCCTATCATGATGTGCGTGAGCTCGGGGAACGGGGCGGGGCCCAGGCTGACGTTGGACATGTCTCTCTCCAGCTACAAGCAGAGGGTGAACAGTGTGCCCACACGGAAAACAAGCCACAAAAGCCCCTCAGGTCAGGTCAGCCTAAAGATGCTCCATGGGACACCTGCGCGGTCCGGCTGTGTGTCCAACTTTTGATCTCAAGGTCGTGAGTTCAAGCCCCACACTGGGCTCCACGCAAAAGACCCCACCAAAACAAGCAAAGCAAAAGACCCCACGAGGGTTCTACAGAAACCACGCGTGAGTGTAAGTTCCTTCAGACACAGAAACGATCCTGTAGCCTTCCACGGAAGCTAGACTCATTATTTTTTTAAAGATCTTATTTATTTACTGTAGGGGAGAGGGAGAAGCAGACACCTACTAAGCAGGGGGCCTGATGTGGGGCTCAATCCTGGGACCACGACCCAAGCCAGAGGCTGACACTTAACCGACTGAGCCACCCCGGGGCCCCTAAACTCCTTAACAAGCTCTCAGCTTTAAGCAAGAACACGTCCTGCTCCAAACCCAGAACGTGTGTCACGGTGAAGCCACGAATGTGTGGCTAATTCTAACACCGGCGCAATGAAGCTGAGAACATGCCAAAACCAGAAACTAGACAATGCATATACACCCCACCTCGAGTTACCTTGACCATGCCCCCAGTGTACTGTGCTACGGATCTGTCCACGTCTACAGCCTTCGCACACCCCCAGGCTGGCCGGGCTCCCAGGAGGTGCTTTCTGGCACATTCCACCAGGTGCTCATGCTCCACACCCACCCCTGCCAGCACCATGCGGTCGGGGGTGTAGTAGTTTCTCAGGTAGGAATGAAGCACTTCTCGGTCAATCTTTCCTATGTTTTCTGTGGGGCAGAAACGGTGGAGGCCAACTGTGTTTTCCTGATAAGCAGCCTAACAAAAGAAGGGAGAAACACGGTGACAGACCAGGGCCCGGTCTCCCCCTCAGCAGGGCCTGCTGTGACACCAGCTGTGACCGGAAAGGCCCAGGGGAGCTTAGCTTTGCTAGCTTGGCAGGAACAGTTTCGTGTGTTTATAAAAGCAGTAAAATCTCTCTCCAGAACGAGACCTCAAAAAAAAGAAAAAAACGAAAAACAAAAACCCCAAAAGCACGTCAACTAAAATGCTCATTCCGGAAATGGATGATGATCCTGTCCCAGAGTAAGGACATGAAGAACACGCATGAGTTGCTGGTGTGGGAATGACAGAGCTTCTGTCCATGCCTGCAGGATGGCAGACGTGCCCTCCCGACCATGCTGGTGCGGAGCCGGTGGGGGGGGCACTGACGCAGAGGCGGGTGCTTATGGGTTCTCTAGTACCTCGTGAATCATCTCCGTGAGAAGCGGTTCCGGGTCAGGCCGCATGTTAAGGTCCTCCAGCTCAAACTGGACAGCCATTCGTGTCATCTCTATTTCTTCATCTGCAGGGAACCCAGACAAGGCTCAGACCACACGAGCCAGGAGAGAAATGGCGCTGGGCCACGCCACCAGGCTGGGCCAAGGGTCATCGGCAGGTAGGCACCAGTATCTCCTTTGCCTTCGTCTGGGTGGACCTGGGGGTGCTTGCGTGAGTGGGGGAGGGGGTCAGCAGCACGGGGCAGGGCCCAGAGACATTGGGCCTCTTCTCCGGCTCAGCCATGAGGCAGCCACGTGGACCAGCCCCAAACCCCAGCTTCTCAGGAGAGGCACTCAGGCCCCTGACCCATCTGCCCAAAGCACAGGGTGGGAAGGTATTTACAAAAGAGGCACCACCCAGCATCACGGCGGCCACTTCATTAGCTCGTTGGAGCAAGTACTAGAAGGACTACAAGGCCAGGCTGATGTGGCCCACTCCGGTCCGCCGCGGGCACAGAATTCAAGGTCCTGCCACCAGCAAGCCAAGGAAGGGGATGGACACAGGGATGTGGAAGCTTCCGGGACCACACCAGCCCAGAGTTTACAGACAGTCTGAGGGGCGCCTGGGTGGCTCAGTTGCTAAGCGTCTGCCTTCGGCTCAGGTCATAATCCTAGGCTCCTAGAATGGAGCCCCACATCGGACTCCCTGCTCGGCAGGAAGCTGGCTTCTCCCTCTCCCACTCCCCATGCTTGTGTTCCCGCTCTCAATGACTCTGTCATAAATAAATAAAATCTCCCAGGGGCACCTGGCTGGCTCCATCGGAGTAGCATGCAACTCCTGATCGTGGGTTGTGAGCTCCAGCACCATGCTGGGTGTAAAGATGACTTAAATGAATAAATAAAAACTTAGGAAAAAAAAAGGAAAGACCTAATTTAACTGAAAATGTCAAAAGGCACAGAATTACATCGAAGTACTAAGCAAAAAAGACTTTCCCGACCCTCAGTGTTATTTCCAAGGAAATCGTGCCAAGTCACTGGCAGCTGCGTGTGAAGGCTGCCTACAGTGCTCGTCCCCGGGGCCAGCGCCTCCACGTGCCTCCCCAGGGTCCAGCCTCCAGCCCCCTCAGGCCGCCCAGGGCCCACCTGTGAGTCTGGGGTGCAGGACCACGTCAGCCAGCAAGCCAACCACCGTGTCCAGGCCTTTAGAATCAGCAGAGACAGCATACATGGTGGTGTCCCTGGAAAGCAGCAATGACACCAGGCACTGAGGTCAGCACAGGTGCAGACCAACAGGGGCTATTCCCTGCCCCTGGCATGGAGGACCAACATATACACACTATGTCCCATCTTACAGTGTGATGTCCAGCATGCACTGGAGCGACAGCAGCTGTCTAGCCAAGATGGACAGGAACCATCCGGAGACATTTCCACAAGCACAGGACCCCTGCCACGGGGAGCCCTTTTATCACGTGCTTCCTGAGCATCTGCTGCCCCGACCCACTGGTCAACGTGCAGTGCGCACGGCCTTACCTGGCTGAGGGACAGAGCCACATGTGGCAGACAAACACCACCTGCCCCACCCACTGCACCCCTACGTCTGTGTGCTGGCCGCATACTGGATCTCCCCGTTCCCAAAAAGCCCACTGCCTCTTCCTGGCTGAGCCTCTCCCCACGTTGTCCTGGGCTGCCTCCTCCCCTCAGCCGCTTTGGCAAACTCCTTCCACTCCAGTCCAATGACGAGTTTGCTATCATTCCGACTCCACACCAGGTTGGCTGCCTTCCCCGTGCTTCCACCAGTCTCGGTTGCTGGCTCCCGTGTCCGTTACCTGTGGTGCAGTGCTCTGCCAGATACGTGAGCGTATGGGAGACAGGGCCTGCTGTGTCCCTAGTGCCCAGCTGGCAGTCTCTGGGCACTACCTGGCTCTGCAGCGTGTTCTCTGCTCTAAACGATGCTGCCTACATGCTTCCCCTAACAAGTTCTCCACCCAGCCCGGCCCAGGCCAGGCTCACTTCTCACCACTAACCCCCACAGCCTCTCCGGGGTGGGTTTCAGTGGGACTCTGACCAAGGATAAGAACCACAGTTCCATGTGAGTCCAAAATAACCTGGCATACCTTGACGTCTGGCAGTCACAAATACCCCCGTGCTTTTCCAACGTCAGCAGAATTTCATCTTTACTGTCAAATCGATCTGTCGACTAGTAAAAATAAGCAAACCTAAGTACTCAATCCAAACCAACCTCTAAAATACGTTCTTTGAGAAAAAAACTTGTTTACTTTAAAAACATGTGAAACCAAATTATCTTTTAACCCAAAAATCTTTTAGTAGAATTACCTTAGCTACTTAGCCGCTTATTAAAATAACCATTTTAAAGAATATAGAAGTTGATTAAAAAAAAAAGAATATAGAAGTTGATAAATCCTTCTCAAATATAGTCTCAAAGATTACAAATAGGACACTGACCGAAAATGCCAATTTTTCCAAAAAGTGAGCAATTCCGCTAAGATATTTTGCTTCGTATCTTGATCCTGAATTAATAAGAACTGGCGATAAAAAGAAAATGGACAGGTTAAACCAAACACTGAAGAGACTGGACTCAATCAAGAGAAACCCTGAAAACGGACGGTGATGAGACAGGCCGACCTAATTACATGAGGATGCCGGTGTGTCCACCACCCGGGCTAAGTCCCAGTGGCCGCACACCACGCCGACACTGACGGAGTTGCGTGCTTCACGTGTGCAGCAGGAAAGTGTGAGGTTTCTTGGAAGGTAGAAAGGGGAAAAGCCCACCACCAGTGCGGCAGTTCAGGGTTTGCAGCCGCGGCTTTCAGGGCCTCTGCCGTCCTCTCCGCCCCCCCCAAGCACAACTAGGGACAGTGCGTTAAGCTCAACAAATGTGGGGCGTGGAGACCAACGGGATGACGCGCGACACCAGCAACAGTACTTACCTCCTACTGTGCAAAATTGTCCGAATTTGTTTTGGGAGGCCACACGAAGCCCATTCTCCAGCGTGGTGACTTTGGTTTCAAACTTTTCCTGCCCATCGACCGTAGCAAACACAGGCTCAGGCACGCCGGGTAAGGGGGACGAGAGCGGGACGCGGGGGTAGGCGCTGCTGCTGCTGAACCCTCTGCGTGCAGGGGCTCCGGACCTAAACAGAGAAGTCGCGCCGTTATGCAGACCCGAGACCCCCGAGCCTGGGGTGGCCATCTGGGCGCAGGCGGTCTCGTTCTGTCCACACTAACATTCGATGGGCCCCTTTCTGTGGGTCTGTTTCCACACACACACACACCCCCAGGCCACACACAGGAGTGATGAGGATCACCGCTGCTAGCTGCGAATCCTCGCTCAGCCCCAGGGCCTTGCGGCAAGTTGGTCACTTCTTTGGGCCTCAACTACCGTCTCTTGTACAGCAGCGACCGCACCGCACTCTGCCCGGAGCTGTGCGGGGCAAACAAATCTCTCTCTCAGCCCCACGGGTGCAAACAGAAGCCAGACCCCTGAGCCGGCCCCGAAGCCCTGCACGGTGCGGACTCCAGCTCTCTCCCCAGGTCATGCCTTCGATCGCTCCCCTCCACCCCCGCGAGGCCCCGCCCGGAACATACGCGGTTCCCCAGCTCCGGCGCTCCCGATCTTCCCGTTCGGGCCTGGCCGGCGCTCGCCTGCCCTTCTCTCACCCCTCGTCTGCCGGCGTGGGAGTGCCGCCGCTGCGCGCGCCTCCCGAAGTCACACTCCCCGGCTGCCCCGGGCCCTACACCGCCCGCCTCCCGCTGAAGCGTTCACGCGACCGCCCCGCCCGCGCTCCCGCAGCGCCGGCCAGCACGAAGGACCGTCCTCCAACGGTGTCCGGGTGGACGCGCCCGCGGCCAGGAAGGCGGGAGAGCGAGTGGCGGGCGGAGAAAGTGCGACGGCCCGAGGCCAGAAGGCCCAGCGCGCTCGGCCTCACAAGGGTGCCGGCGGCAGGGCCGGGCCGGGCGGAGATGACACGTGGCCCCCGGCGGGCCCCATCAGCCCGGGAGGACAGGGCGGGAGAGGGCCCGGCGGCCCGGGAGAGGCCGGGCGAATGGGGCCCGGGGCCCGGACCCGGGGGCCCCGCCACGGAAGCGCTCTCCGTGCCTCGGACACAGGGCCGGGGTCCCGAAGCCCGAGCCAGCGGCGCCGCGTCTGTGCGTGGGGAAGCCAGAGGCTGAGCGTCCGGACTGACGCCCGCCGTCCCGACCCCCGGCCGGCCCCCGGCGCGACCCCGGCTCACTTCAGCCGGGAGCGACGCCACGAGCCCGAGCCGCGGAGCAGCAGCCGAGCCGTCGCCAGGACCATAGCCGCCATCTTGCGTCTCCGCCCCCTGCTTCTGTCGTCACTTCCGGACCCGCCCCCGACGCCCCGCCCCTACGGCGCTGGCCCGCGGCGTTCGTGCGCGCGCTTCCGGTGCCGGGAGCGGAAGCCGCGGCGAGAGGCTGGGAGTGGCGGCCCGGCGGCGGGCGACGGGGGCGGGCGACTCGGGCCGCGGCCGGGGTGGAGCCGGGGCCATGGGGCCGCCGCTGCCGGGCTAGGGAGGGCCGGCGCCGCCGGGCCCGCGGCGATGGCGGGCTACGCGCGCCGCCCGGGCGTCCCCCCGCTGTCGCGAGCCCGGAGCCTCGTCATTCCGGACGGTGAGCGGCCGGGCCGGGCGGCGGGGCCGAGCCCGCCGGGCCCCCGGGCCGCCCCCGCCCCCGCCCCGCCGGACCGGGCTGCAGGTGAGGCGGGCCGCGGGGCGCGCGGCCAATCGCTGTCGTTGTTGTTGCAGCCCCCGCGTTCTCTGAGCGCCGGTCCTGTCTGCCCCAGCTAGACTGTGAGCGCCCCCGTGGCGGGGGCCTGGACTCCCACTTCCTCGGCATTCGGCCGACGTTTATGTGCTATGTGCCCAGCCCGGTGCTAGCTTCCGTGGGAGACACAGGTGAGACGCCAGCCTCAGGGAGCCCCCCGCCGGCTGGCCCGTAGGGACTCGCCGGAGGCCAGCTGGCTCCCGACCCAGCGATGGGCGCCCAGTGCCGCTGAGTGCGGGCCCCTGGGGGTGCGGGTGCAGAGCGGCCCCTCCCCGCACAGACCCTTCCAGTGTAGGATGGTAAGTGCCGAGAGAGAAGTACGCCTTAGGGAGCACTGTCAACCACCGCCTTTTTCCAGGAGAGGTGGGGGACATGGGACAGTGACCGGCTTTAGTCTGGGGTTACTCTGCCTGGAGCAGCCCTGTGGCAGGGTGCCCAGAGTGAGGGGCGAGCCTTTAGGTGGGGTCTCATCGGGTCGTCATAGGAGAGTGGCAGTCTGTGAGGGTGTATTCAGAAGGCATCGCGAGGCAGAGGAGGACACACGCAGCCACACTGGTCATCAGAGCTTACTGGGAGCTTTTTCTGAATCACACATGCTGGGGCCCACGGAAGCCACAGCGTCTCCACCAGCAGGAGCCGGGGGCTTGTGTTTGAGCAGTTCCCCGGCCTGTGGCAGTCACTGCGACGGAGACCCCGTGTTGAAAAGCAGTTGTCACAGAGGCCTCTGTGATCACGTTAAGGCGATGACATCTCTTTGCAGATTTTGGCTACGGAAAGGGGAAATGTACTAAGCAAGGTGTGCCAGGAGCCCAAGAGACACATTTTGGAGGTAGGGTGGTTGGGCCGTCCTCTCGTTTTCCCTCTGCCCAGCGCAAAGTGCCGAACAGGTGCCTCGCGGCAGGTTGTCGGTCTGACAGCGCGTAATTAGTGTGTCAAGTGGTGGAGGAGTCCCGCAGACTCAGTCTTAACCCCAGTGTAGAAAAGGCGTGGCTACGAGGACAGATGAGCCTGATGTGTAGGGCGACAGAGAAGTGGGAAGGCACACCACAGGGGTCTGAAGAGGCAGCACGGGCTAGAAAAACGGGAGTCAGCTTTACACAAGGTTGGCGCCTGGGCTCAGATGGTCATTGCTGGTTAGGGATGGGGAGAGCGGGAAGCAGATAGGGAAAGAGAGAAAGGAAGGAAGAATGGGTGAGCAGGGAAAGGGATAGAGGTGGAGCAGGGTTCCTCAAGCTGGCCGCGCTGTTGGACCTCCTGGACAGCCCCCAGCACGGTTATACCCCAGGGCGACTACCTGAGTCTGTAGGAGTGGTCTCCATGGGCAGCAAGGAGCGGGGGGAGGGGGGGGGTTGGAAGTGGGAAGGAGAATTCTTAACTAAAACTCTACCCCCCGATACGGAGCTCAAACTCATACCCCAATGTGAAGAGTCACCGGTCCTACTGCCTGAGCCAGCCAGGCACCCCGGGAAGGAAGTTCAGAATGCGGAAGGACAGCTGTTTTGTTGGCTAGGTTTTTCATGTCCTAGCGTCACTGAATTCTGGTGGGATGAGGAGGGTGGCAGTCCCAGTTTTAGATGTTGTGTTCTAAAAAAATTAATGGGGAAGTTTCTTTTCGATTACTTTTGGGAGACTTTTTGCAATTGTGTCATGTCATACTGTTTCAGACGATAAACTTGAAGACCTTGCAGAGGCCAATCCGTTCTCCTTTAAAGAGTTTCTAAAAACCAAGAACCTCAGCTTGTCAGGAGAGGATCCAGGCAACAACAGAATTTATTCAAAGGTAGATCCAAGGCGTCGTCTGCGGTGACTGTACACAGAGAAACATCCAGAGGACATCTCTCTTCCGACGTGGGAGACGCTGCAGCAGCTGGGGGGGCACAGGGAGCTGGCGGCTAACGCCGACGGGAAACTCGGGTAGAGAAGCTTCCGGGACCCTTCCCGGCTCTTCTCTTTCCTGGTAGACAGGACGGGGCTGTTCTTTCCACTGCCAGCCCCTCGGAAGACAGGCTTCCAGCAGCTTCTGGGTCTGAGCTGTGCCTCCGGCTGTTTTCTTTAGGAAGCCACGAGACACACACTGGGACTTGGCCGCAACTCCCCGACCTCCCAGACCGTGGGATATGGCATGGAATATCAGCAGCCATTTTTTGAAGACCCCACGGGAGCTGGCGATCTTCTGGACGAAGACGAAGACGAGGATGAGGACGACGGGTGGAACGGAGCCTACTTGCCGTCCACTGTGGAGCAGACCCGCCCCTCGGGGGTCGCTGCCAGCACATCACCCTGTAGCACATACATCTCCTTTTTCTCCACCCCATCGGAGCTGGTGGGGCCTGAGACCCTGCCCCCGTGGACGCTGAGCGACTCTGAGTCTCGGGCCTCTCCACCAGGGAGCCCCAGCACGGACTTCGCGGCCCATGGAGAGTCCCTGGGAGACAGGCATCTCCGGACACTGCAGATTAGCTACGAAGCAGTAAGTGAGGGACTCCGAGTGGCGCTGCGTGTCCGAGTGACGAATTCACAGACGACCCGGGCCTCCCGGTAGCCTCGGTGGCCTGGAGTCTTGGCACCAAGGACCAGACGGTCTGCGGTGCACCCTGTGCCACGCCCCACATTGACAGATTCCCCGCGCGCCGTGCCACTGGCAGAGCCGTGTGCGGGGCAGTGAGCTGCGGCCCGGCTGGGGCAGGAGCCTCAGAGACCCTCCCAGGTCCCCCCCTCAGGAAAGGGTCCACTTCAGGCATCCGCTCAAGGATGTCTTGCTGTGTTCTGAGTAGAAGAAACATTTATAGGAGAGATTATCACTTAAAAGAAGGTCAGGAGTAAAGTGCACGTCCGTGATCCTAGGCCTTTAAAGGGAGAGCTCTCCGCTCCTGGTTCTCCTTCTCTCCAGAATATCTGCTTATCGAGAAGTTGCACAGCCACTTTGCAGAAATGCAGCCTCCGTTTGAGTGAGACACAGAGTTTCTAATAGGGGTTTTCTTCCTCTGCAGTTGAAAGATGAAAACTCGAAGCTGAGAAGAAAGCTGACAGAGGTCCAGAGCTTCTCTGAGACTCAAACAGAAATGTACGTGCGCCCTGAGTCAGCACTGCCTCCAGAATGCCGGCGAGTGCGCCCGTCCGTCTGCTGTCCGGGATGGGGCGCTGGGGCGGGACCACGCTCGGCTTTCCCTGTCCGCGGGTCACCCGTGTCACACACGCTCCTCATGTTCTGAGTGAAAGCTCGGACCCGACGCCGCGCCCCCGCCAGCCGTGCCTGCTGAGAGCGGCAGAGCCATGGGTCGCTGGCCTCGTGGTGGTCAGCCGCCCGCCCCACCTGGCCGACTCTCAGACGCATTTGGACAGTGAGCTGCGTGGGTGATCGACAGCCTGGTCTTCTTTGTCCCCAGGGTGAGGACACTGGAGCGAAAGCTGGAAGCGAAAATGATCAAGGAGGAAAGTGACTACCACGACCTGGAGTCTGTAGTCCAGCAGGTGGAGCGGAACCTGGAGCTGATGACGGTACAGGGGCCGGGAGGGTGCTCGGGGATGTGTCCCCTCCTCCACCGCCAGCCCGCAGAGGTGCAGTGCCGGGAGGGGCCCCTCACGGTCGAGCCGGAGGCCCCTGGGTGGGGGCAGAGGGCCACCTTCACTCTGTTTCCGGGTCTTGCCGCGTTACATGGTGCTGGTGTTTGTTTGTTTCTTTTTTGTCGGGACAGAAACGGGCTATGAAGGCAGAAAATCACGTCATGAAGCTGAAACAGGAGATCAGCTTGCTCCAGGTGTGTGGCCAGCATGGGCACAGGGTCTGGGAGCCTCCCCAGCAGCGCTGGCTCGCGCAATCTGGCCCCGCCGGCTCTCCCCCTGCCCGGTCCTCCCGGCCCTGTTTGCTCTGCTCAGCGGCAGGGTGCTGGGCACAGGCTGCATTGTCCAGGACGGCATGGGGCCCCGCATGAACTTCCCGATTCCGCGGAGGAGTGCTGAGGGTGGACCCAAGGACAGGGGAAGCCCGGGTCTCCGGGGAGCCCCTCAGGAGACGCCTGCCTCGGGGGCCAGCCCATGTCCCCTCACTGCCTGTGCCGAGGCTGTGGCCGCCAAACTGCTTCACTGCTTTCACCGCCGCAGGCACAGGTATCCAACTTCAAGCGTGAGAACGAAGCCTTGCGCTCCGGCCAGGGCGCCAGCCTGGCAGTGGTCAAGCAGAACACCGACGTGGCCTTGCAGAACCTCCGTGTTGTCATGAACAATGCCCACTCCTCAATAAAGTGAGTGCGGGGGGGCCGAGGGCGTTGGGCATGGGCAGGGGTGAGGCTGAGACGGCCAGCGGGCCTGGGAGAAGCAGGGTCCTCAGCTCGGTGTTTGAAAGCACGACCACACTAGGTATAGCGGACAGGGCTCTGGGAGCAGACGTGCACTTGTTGGCGCTGTTAACCTTGAGGTTGCACCACGTGTGCCCGGCTAGCAGGCACTCGGACCATCTGCACGGTAAGCGGTTTTTACCAGAGCGCTGACCTCACACAGGTCGGAGTCCCAGTTCCGTCACCTGCCGGACATTTCTGTTCTGCACAGAGAGGAATAACAGTGTTTCCCTCTCGTCATAAGAAGCAGATGAGTTCGTCAGAGACCCCCCAGAGATGGCTGCTGTGGTCACTCCCCTTGGGTGCCCCATCTGCCTGCCCCGGGGCCGGGCCCCTCTGGGGAGGAGTGGCAGCCCCCGGAGTCTGCTCTCCCCCCCCCCCCCGGGGGCTTCTTTCTGGCTTCTGTCAGGTTCGTCATCGGAGAGTCATGGTAGCGGGCCCGTAACAGCCACATTTCCATTTCAGGCAGCTGGTTTCGGGAGCTGAAACGTTGAATCTTGTTGCTGAAATCCTTAAATCTATAGACAGAATTTCTGAAATTAAAGATGAGGAGTCTTGAGAACCCTGACGTGCTTCTGGGCCGTAGCCTCGCTCACAGCCAGACGTCTCTGCTCACCAGATTTGGAAATGCCGTCGTGTCTTCAAATATGTCGTGCTCACCCGTAGTAAAGCTATTTATCATGACCTGCTAATTTCGTGACCTGCGAAGTGTGAGCAGCCTCTGCAGGGAGAAGCAGCCCCTGTGTGAGAGCCGCACCGGCTTCTCCGCAGCCCTTCTGGGGGCTCGAGCTCCCGCTACTTCCCAGACTAATGCTCTATCGGAAGACGTTTCTATAAAAGCCAGTGATTTTTTGAAGTTACTAAACCTGAAAAACCACAGTTCTGCAATGAGTGTCTTCCATTGTCATTCTGGAATGTTAATTATAAGATAAGTCAATTGCTCATTCTTAATTTCGACAGGAGAGAAAGCAGGGGAACTGCGGTCAGCAGCTGCTTCCGAAGACCTAGGGCCCTGCAACCTCCCTTGGGGCACCTGCCGGCTCGGAGTCCACTCTTGTGGGCCTGTGGGCGTGCCTGCCGTGGGAGACCTGAGCGCGGATGCCCCATGCGGGGGCCCTGGGTCACCCAGGTGGGCCACTGTGTGCGGCCATCTAAGTGCACCTCTGTGCCATGGGGCGGGTTTGAAAAAGTGCTTTGGCTGGAGGGTTTTGATACGTGTTTCAAGGGGGTTTATATCATGACATTTAGGCTTCAGGAGTTCAGAGTGCAGAGCCTCCCTGTGTTGACGCAAGGCCCTCCATGGTGCCTTTCCAACTGCTTTGCCACAGAGGGCAGGCAGAACATGCACTACGTGCCTTTTTGCCTATTTTTCTGTAGACGTTATTTTTCTAAATAAATTTCCCTTTTTCCTCCTGTTCAAATTGACAGCTTTTCTATTTAATAAATTGTAAAACTCCTATGAACTGTTCTTTTTTTTCTGACTTAACCAGGTCTTTATGCTTGAGAAGCATGGTACTGTCCTCTGACTTCAGGGCATGCATCTTGTTGTAGGGGGTGATTTGTGTTGATAAATTAAGCATTAATCCGTGGCCTGTGGGGTCACGGGTAGGCTCACACCATGCTGCCCGGGCCTGACCACGGTGGCCCGCACATCAGATGCCAGAGCTGTGTGTTTTGGAGTGGGCACCGTTGGAACCTCGTGGCAGAGCATCCTTCAGTAACGCGGCTGAACTTTTTTAAACATCACAGCCCAGGCTCCAGCCTGCCGCGGAGAAGTGGTTCTCGGCTCTGGCGTCAGGGGCAAAGTGCTAGGGAGAGGTTCTCTTCTGGGTGTGCAAGGGGTTGGGGCGCTACGAAAAGCCGGCCCTGACCTCTGCCCCCTGCAAGGGCAGGCAGAGGGGCCGCGGGAAGCGCGGAGCTTCCTCCCGCAGTGCTCCCAGCTGGAGGCTTACCCACTTGCACGCACGGCCAGCGCCGCCTCAGGACTTCCAGCGTCACAGGGCGGCCCGTTCGTCCAGTCTGGCTCTCCGGGGCGTCCCTGACCCTGACCCTGACCCTGCTCTGTCCACCAGGGGAAGGCGCACTCCCGGTTTCCAGCGGACCCGGCTGAGCCCCGGAGATGCCCCTCAGACGGGGGTGGAAGGGGGTGGCGCCCCTGCCCTACCCGCGCTCCCGTCCCGCACACGCCCCCAGGAGGAGCCACTGCAGGCTGGCCGCCCCGGGCTCAGGCCGCCCCCCGACGGCCTAGAGGTCCGCGCGGGGCCCCGGGGTTGGGGTTGGGTGCTGAGCGGGCTCCGGCTCTGGCCGCCGCGGTGCGGAGCACTTATCCGCTTTGCTCGCCGGAGCGAACAACAGACCCGGATAGAATTAGCACAGGCAGAGACGAGCCGGGTCCGCAGACGCGGATGTCACTGCGAGGGGAAGAGGCGGAGGTCCAGCCCCGCCCACCATCCCCGCCCCGGCCCGGCGCTCCGCAGTCCCGAGGGCGGCCGCGCGGTGGCAGCACTTCCCGGCCCCGGCCAGGCGTGCCCCGCGCTGTGGCCGCGGGGCGGGACTTCCGGTCTCGTGGTCTCGGGAAGAGTGGGGGGCGGCGGCGCGGCGGAGGGCGAGGTCGGCGGTGAGGCCTCCGGGGTCGGCGGTGAGGCCGGCGGGGCCGTCGCGGGGGAGGGGCCCGGGCGGGGCGGGAAGCGCGGAGCCGGGGCCGCTGTCGCCCCGCGGCGGAGGCGGCCGCTGGGCTCACGGCCCGTCGGGCTCCCTGGCTCCCGGCTCCTGGGTCGGGCCGCGCTCCTGAAGCCGCGGGACCCTCCTCCCTGCCCGGCCCCCCGCACGGGCGCTGCTTCAAGGAGCAGGTCCCGCGGGCGCCCTGTGGGTGCGGGGGCCCTGCCGCGTGTCCCCGGGGTCGGGCGTACCTGTGCTGCGGGCCGGGGCCTCGCCCGTGTGCCGTGGTGACCCGGCGTCCGGAGCCTGCCCTGTCGGTCCCGGTGCCCGTGCGGCCGCGGGAAGACGGGCTCTGCGGCCCTGCCGGTGTCCGCGCCCCTGCCGGTGTCCGCGCCCCTGCCGCCCGCTGGCCACAGCCTCTGAGCGGGCTGGCCGTGTCCACATGGCCTCAGCGCCCAGGGAGCCGGCAGCGGGTGCTTGTGGGGTGTGGGGGCGTCCAGCCACGGTCCAGGCCCCCCACCCGGCCCGACTGCCTGCTCTGGCCGGTATTTGTTGTCCCCCGGCTGGCATGTGTAAAGGGCGGGTCTCTGAAGTCTTGGGGACTGTGCCCGTGGCAGGTCGAGGTCATGGATGTCGACGCCGAAAGAGAGAAGATAGCAAAGGAGATTGCAGAGCTCGAGCGGATCCTGGACCCCAGCTCCTCAGGCGTCGGAGTGGGCATCTCAGCATCCGGCCTGGGCTTGGATTCCGATGCAGGTGAGCTCTCCGGGCCGCGGCTGGCGCCCTTCCGGCCCCCTGCAGGCCAGTGCAGTGCTCGGCGGCGGCGGCGCTGACCTCGGCCTTTACTCCCCGAGGTGGCCGTTGGCGCTCGTCCTCAGAGGGCCGGGAGTGAGCGCGCTGTCCGGTGAGGGCAGCCGGCTGTCCTCCTCAGCGGTCCGAAGGTTGCAGAGCTCAGCTTGTCAGCGGCCATCGTGCCGGACAGCTGAGAGCCACCCCCACGTGCTGTCCTCGGTGCTTCCCTGGGCCTGGACTCGCACAGCTCTGATTGGGAACCTGCTCGCGGGGTCAGGGTCTAGGAGAAACTGGGCCCTCGGGCCTCTCCCCAGCCTCGGGGGCAGCTCTGAGGCTGTTCCGCAGTTTCCAACTCCTCCAGGGCCTCAGCCCGCCCCTGCCCCCACTAACTGCAGCACCCCTGGGACGGGGCTGGCTCCTGCAAGGGCTCCCCGCGTGGTCCTGGCGCGTCTGCCCTCTCTGGCTGACCCTGCCCTCGGTTTGGGGCCCGTCTTGCCCGGCGGTGAATAGCGCTTAGCCGCTGGCTGCTGGGGACGTAGGTGCACTTCTGTCCCGAGGCCTTTCAGCCTTTCCCCTGCCGGTGGCCACCAGGAGGCCACCCTGTGCTGCACCTGCGGGTCGTTCCTGGGGTGGCTGTGGGCTCCCGTCACCATCAGCTGCACAGTGTGTTTGTGTTCCCACAGATTCGCTGCCAGACGAGGACTCGGAGGCTGCGGGATCCCCAGGCTCGGTAACTACTGGCCTGAGCTGGCTGTGGTGCCCACCGAGGCAGACGCCACCCCTACCAGTGTACCCAAGACCAAGGGGGGCTGCTCAGAGCACGTTTCAGGTTTTCCGTGTCTTTGTTTTTGCCCGTGACGTGTCCCCAGGTATTTGTCACTAAAATTGAAATTGCTCCAGGATGACCTTCGTCTGAGGCTCGGCGTTCACGTCTCCTGGCTCTGCCGAGCTTCCTGATGTGTGTGTGCGTGGGCGTGGCACCACACGTGGAAGGTTTCGGGCGTGCTTGCTGCCCGGGTCTGGCCCTTGTGACTTGCTTGTCTGTGCCCTAGTTTCCAGCATGCAGTGGGGCAGTCACGGCATAAGTCAGTCCCAGGATGGTGCCTGGCATGTAGTCCCGCAGTCAGGCCGGTTTTTAGTGCTACTTTTGTTTGTTTCAGGATCGCACGTTAATTTGGAGAATTTTTACAGTTTGTTGCGTGTTCTCTCATGAAGGCAGTAGGTGCAGAATTAATTTCAGTTTTTAATGGCGGGATAGTGCCCTTGGCATAGATTTACTGTAGTTCCTCGCCCGAAGGTCCTGCTGGCCATCCTCACACGTGTTGTCCCCTGGTGGTGACAAGGGCACATGAGCCTGTTCTGATACATGAGTGCTGTAGAAACGTCTGTTGTGGAAAGAGGACGGTAGAGAAGCTCCTCATACATTCCCACCCGAGACGTATTCCCAGATGTTCTCTCCTCTGTCTGAAGTTATGGAATGGGCACGTGCTGGACACGGTCCCACATCGGAGGTCTCCTGCTGGTCCCGGGACCAGAGCATGAGCTCAGATTCTCGTTGTGCTGCCCTGGGTCGCGGGCTGGGGGGTCGGGGGTGGCGTCTGTGTGCCTCCTTCCTCAGCAGCAGTTTCCCCCCATAACCAGGAAGAGGAGCAGTGGGGTGAGGCCAGCAACGGTGAGGATGACCCCAAGGACAAGACCCTCCCTGAAGACCCAGAGACCTGCCTGCAGTTGAACATGGTCTACCAGGAGGTCATCCAGGAGAGGCTGGCGGAGGTCAGCCTCCTGCTGGCCCAGAACCGGGAGCAGCAGGTAGGACAGGGCCAGGCCCTAAGAAACCCCCTGGCCAGGCACCCCAGAACCAGGGCTTTGAGCTCTGCTCCCTGACTGCCCAGGTCCCCTCATCCGCAAAGGGAGTCGCTGCCTCCTGACCCCAGAGGGCCCCTTGTATCTGCCACAGGAGGAGATCCTGTGTGACCTGGCAGGGTCCAAAGGCCCTAAGACGAAGGATGGCAAGAGCCTGCCCCCGAGTCTGTACATAGGGCACTTCATGAAGCCCTATTTCAAGGACAGGGTGACCGGAGTGGTGAGTGGCGGGGGCCCTGCTCTCATCAGGGAGGTTGGGGGTGGGCGGCAGGCTGTGTGGGAAGGAGCTCTCGTCTCCACACCTCCTGTGGGTGTTGGGAATTCCTGGGACTGTCCAGGATGATACGCTCTGGTCTCTTTGAACTCTTTTCGGTTGCCGGTGGTGAAAGGGTCTCTGGCCCTGGAGCGTCGCCTGCTAACCTCAGCTTCACAGCTTCATCCCCAGGGATGTTTCCCTAAGAGGTGGCACCATGGGCGGGGCAGCTTGGCCCAGTCGTGCCGGCCTGGTAGCGAGGTCCTGTGGAGCCGCCGAGCCCGCCCCACGCGCCTCTCGGCCCCCAGCCACTCCCCAGGGAGCAGGCCTGGGCCCAGGTGTCTGGTGCCAGGCCTCCCACGTGGCCGAGCTGCTCAAGGAGGCCGAGGGAAAGGCTCCAGAGTTCTAGTGGGGCCCAGAGCGACGTGCTCAGCCCGTAAGGCGAACGTGCCCGGATCCTGGCCGCGACGTGACAGTGCTTTATTGGGCAGGGGCCTCCTGCCAACGAAGAGACGCGGGAGAAGGCCGCCCAGGGCATCAAGGCTTTTGAGGAGCTCCTGGTGACTAAATGTACGTGCACGGGCTGGGCCTCAGCGCCACAGCCCTGCCTCTCCTCACACGCCCTCCTGCGGTTCTGTGGGCTCTTTCGCGCCCTGACCCCTGGGACTGGCCCCTGCAAGCCCCGGCCTGGCTCACGCCACGTGGGGACCCCCATCCCTACGGCTCACTGTCTGGTCTCTCTTTCTGAAAGTCCAGCCCGAGGGGCCCAGCTGTGAGCTTGGGCCAAGGCGTCCAGCTCACTGGGCGGAGGGCCCCCTGCCCGCAGCCGGCCTCCCTGCCAGCCCCGTGGCCCTGGCCTGGTTGTGTGCCCAGCACATCCTCGCATCAGGGTA